GCCCCGGGAAGAGCTTTACCAAACCAGCCACTGCGAGGTCTTTTCCAGGAAGCTCCGGATGTGTCCCAAGGGTGTGTCCAGCTGTGTCTGGGGCCGCCACCCGGAGGCCTGGCCTTAGCCATTCAGGGGTGGGGCTGGGGGCAGAAGCAGGGCCTGGAAGGGTGCACAGCCCTCCCACCTTGCCCAGCACCCTGCTCTCTGATCACACAGACCCACAAACCAGTTCAATCCCCAGCCTGGACCATCCCAACATCCTCCTTTCCTTCTCCCTCCAGGGTTGGAATCTGAGCTCCATGAATACTGGCTGTGCGACCTTGGGCAGGTGAGGCTCCTCTCTGGGCTCATCTGTGAAACGGGGAGATTGTTGCTGAAATTGTGGGGAAGGGTCGAGACTAGAGGAAACCACAGATAGTGAAGCACTACACAACTATAACCAGGCGAGGCAGGCGACAGGAGTCAGACCCTCCCGGAGGGAGTGCAGGGTGAACCAGAAGGTCGGCTTTGAGCTGGAGAAAGTGGGTCCTTGTGCCCTGCCTCATTTTGCTCATCTCCTCACTGTACAGATGTGGAAGCTGGGGCTGCACGTGTGGGAGTAAGAGCCTCGACGTTTGAAAGTTAAGAGAGTGTAGATCCTAAGACTTTTCATCTCAAGGAAAAAAACATGTTTCCTTTTATTTCTGTGTGTATGTGAGATGATGGATGTCTGTTGTAGGCAGTTGGACAGATATAAGCAGAGCAAGGACACATACAGAAGGTCATCAGGGCCCTGACCAGTTTGGCTCAGTGGATAGAGCGTCGGCTTGTGGACTGAAGGGTCCCAGGTTCGATTCCCGTCAAGGGCATGTACCTTGGTTGTGGGCACATCCCCAGTGGGGGGTGTGCAGGAGGCAGCTGATCAATGTTTCTCTCTCATCGATGTTTCTAACTCTCTATTCCTCTCTGTAAAAAATCAATAAAATATATTTTTTAAAAAAAAGAGTCACCAGGGCAGGAAGCTAAGGGCAAATGTGAGGCGGGACCTTGACCCTAGGTGACCTTTCCTCCCCTAGCACATCACTGGCCATGCGGTTGGGACCCCCTGACCGTTCCTCCCTGGAGATAACATCTAGGCTGCAGCTGTATTTCAGCTCCGGGCCCCGAGAAGCAACAAAACCAGCCAGGGCTGACCTCAGGCCCCGGTGCCGGCCAATCAGTCAGCGGAGACCACCACCCTGAAAGGACTCACCTGGAAAGCTGCTGAATGTTCTATTGAGGCCTCCCGCTGCCTACAACATGTCGACTAAACTTCTTGTGAGAATCATTTCACAATGCACGGACGTCAAACCGCTATAGGCAGTTAGACACACGCGCGCAGAGCCAGGACGATGGGCCAGGTCCAGAAGGTCACCCAGATGGAAAGGCCCAGAGATAACATCTAAGCCTCAGTTGTCTTTTAGCTCCAGTCCCAGGTAAGCAACCAAACCAACCAGGGCTGACCTAGGACCAGCTGCATCGAATAACGACCCCTGGCCTGGTGCTGTCAATCAATCCTCAGGCAGGAGAATCTCCTCCCCAAAATGTAAATCGACTCCCCAATAACACTAAGATTTATAACACAGCTGGTCTCTACCAGGTTGCAAGCCTACTCGGACCGAGGGAATACCACCTCTAGACGCCATCGCCACCCCCTTCCATGCCCAGGCCCCACTGTCCCTCCGACAGAGAGCAAGGATCTCTTGGCTCTGAAATAAAATGCCCCCCCTTTCAGCAGGAAGCAGCTACAAAAGACCCCGATGCCCCTTTTCTCAGAGAGATTTCAGAGCCAGGATCCTTGCGGGGGGATGCTGTGGGCAGTTAGACAGACATGAGCAGAGCAAGGACGATGGGCCAGGTGCAGAGGTCACCAGGGCAGAAAGCAAAGGACAAATGTAGGGGGGACCTCGCCCCCGGGGTCCTTTCCTCCCCTTGCATATCTCTGACCTTGCAATCTCGGTTGGGACCCCCTGACCATTCCTCCCTGGAGATTACAGTTGGTTTTCAGCTCCAGGCTCAGATAATCAACAAAAACAGCCATGGCTGACCTCAGGCCCAGCTGCCCTGGTGCCAGCCAACCAATCAGTGGAGACCACCACCCTGAATGGGTCCACCTGGCCAGCTGCTGAATATCCTATCAAGGCCTCCCCCTGGGACCGCCCCTAAAGACTCCGCCCTTAAGACCCTTAGGATGGAGGAGCCATGTGTTCTCCCTCCAGGGAGCACACCCTTCCCTCTCCCTCCTTCCCTTCCTCTTTCCCCTCCCTCCCCGGCCGGCACCTTACCATTCGCTTCCTCGCCCCCAAGCTCCAGGGGCCCTTCCTTTACCTCTGGAACTTGTTCGCCAAGCCCATTTCTTCCAGGAATTACTTCTTCTACCTTGTAACTTACCCCTCAGATGTTCTCTTACAGGTTGGGTCTCTAGAGTCTAGAGACTTTGAATTCTCTCCTAGCCAGAGCCCAAGTACCCAGGTTGCTGAACCCAGGTTTGGTCTGACCCCACTGGTCAGACACCTTCCTGCTGCCTACAACATAACCATGTTGTTCCCTAAACTTACAGTGTGTGTGTTGATTATATCTCGGTAAAACTGGGGTGGGGGTTGGGGGCTGGGGGAGGAGTAGGGGAGAAAAGTCTCAAAGGTATGAGCCAGCAGGTCACTGTTTGATTCCCAGTCAGGGCACATGACAGGGTTACATGCTCGATCCCCAGCAGGGGGTGTGCAGGAGGCAGCCGATCAAAGATTCCCTCTTATCATTGAAGTTTTTCTCTCTCTCTCTCTCTCTCCCTTCCTCTCTGAAATCAATAAAAATATATTTTAAGCAACAAAAGAAAAGAAAGAGTCCAGCCCTCCAAGCAGGCAGGCGGCAGGAGAGGCAGGTTCTTAATAAAATGAACAAGGGGAGAGCCCGCCGACCTGAGGCTGACAACACTGGGACTTCTCCGGGCGGCTGCTGAAAGGGTCTCGGAGCTGAGAGCCTGGGCAGAGACGGAAGGGAAAGAAGGAGAGAGGGAAGTAAAACGCATGAGCAACAGGTGAAGAGCACGCCCCTGAGCTCCGGGTGCTGCCTGTGCCTTTCCCCTGGCCTGGCACTCCCGCTGGAGCTGTTCCTTCTTCAGCCGGGGCTTCCCGTCAAGGCATCGGCAGGCTTTTTAAAAATATATATTTTTTCATTGCCTGGGTGGGGGGAATGGGAGTGGGCTGGAGGCGATTAATGGGGGGGGGGGGGGAAAGGACCTATGTAATACTTTCAACAATAAAGATAAAAAATAAAATTCAATATATAAATAAGATTTTGATTGATTTCAGAGAGGAAGGGAGAGGGAGAGAAAAACATTAACGATGAGAGAGAATCACTGATTGGCTGCCTCCTGCAGGCCCCACACTGGGGATGCAGCCCGTAATCCGGGCATGTGCCCTGACTGGGAATCAAACCATGACCTCCTGGTTCGTAGGTTTATGCTCAACCACTGAGCCACGCCGGCTGGGCACGGCATGGGCAGGCGTTGAGGGGCTCACCCTCCAGTCTCGGGCAAGCACTGAAGGCAGCACAACTCCCTTGGCATGAAGGTGCACCCTGAGGGCCCAAGGTCACCTTGGCATCATTTCCTAGGAAGGGGAGATGGAATTTTGGGCTCAAAGTTTCCAGGTAAACTTCTTGGATCTTCGATCTGCCCACTCCCTTTCCCATGACTAGGCTGGTGGCCTAACTTGGTGCCCGGTGTGCCCTGACCCTGACCCCATTAGGGTGTCGCTGCACAGGGTGTGTTTGGCACTCGGCCAGAGGACTTTCTCCTCACACTCAGCAGGGGGTAAAGGACAATGTGGAGGTTGGCAAAGATCAGGGCTGAGCCTTCCAGGTGAGCCACTACCAGGCTGGGGGCAACGCCCGCATCCAACTCCCTTCTGGGTCTAAATGGCAAAGAAGTGATCTCAGAAACCTGGGCCAGCCTGCCCTCTAGTGGTGCTCAGCCGTAACTGCACTTTCCCTGCCAGCTTTTCACAATGCGTTGCCGCTTTTGAGGAAGGCTCCTCTGAGATCCACAGGTGACCGGGAGGGGGTGCTGTTCTCCTATCATTTCAAGCATCTCTTCCTCTCACATGATACTGAACCCTAAAAGGGGGATGTTACTAGCATGTAAGCTACCTCTTCATACTAGGGACTTTGCATACCTTGCTTCCCTGACCCCTCCAAAGGTCCCGGGGTCAGGGACTATTACTAACTTCTGTACAGAAATAGCCCCGGCTTTGGGGTCACACCATAGTCCATTCGATGCCCGTCCGACTTTCAAAGACATGTTTCTAATGTACCACCTGCCTGTGGAAACCCTCTAAGCCAGAAGTTTCCAGGCTCTAACAAGAACCAGACAAGCAGCGAACGGGAGGGAGGGTCATTGGAGAGTGGATGGGACTGCAGAAAACAGAGGGATATGTGTCACAGCTAAAGGAGCGCTCAGTGGTTAGAGCACCGCCCTGCACACCAGAAGGTCATGGGTTCAATTCCCGGTCCAGGGCACATACCTGAGTTGCAGGTTAGACCTCCACCACCACTTCACTATCACCCCACCCCCACCCCATCGGGGCATGTGCGGGAGGCAACCAATTTTCCTCTCTCGCTCTCTCCTTTGCTGAGAATGCTGGACTAGCCCCTAAGACAAGTTGAAAGTCTGCATTTTGATATACAAGTTCCCGACTCTAAATATTGGCAATGAATTCAGAAAAGAGTTTAAATAGAATGCAAGTCAAACAAAGAAGGTTGCTGACACGTGGAGCTTCTGTAACACCCTCACGGGGCAGGTGAGGTCTGGCGAGAGGAGGCGACTTGCCCACGATCGTATGACCACATGCAGACAGAGCACAGACTTGACCCCTGACTCCCGGGCCAGGGCTCGTCCCCGTGGTCTACTCTGCTCTCCGGGCCCCGGGGCAGGGGCTGAGCCACGGCTGACTTCGGGGAGGCGCTGGGACACATCCGACTCAGACTAGAGGCCCAGAAGCCATCACATTTATTGGTCACACGTGGCTTCGAGGGTAGCAGGGCCATCCTGGCGCCCTCTTGGGAGTAACAGGAACACTGTTAGCACATGCGGCCCCTGGGAGCCCACCGGGTCCCGCTGAGGTAGTGGCTGGACCCATGGCCTTGCCTCGTTAGCTCAGACCTGGCTTTGTCCCTCACACCGGACACTGGGCCCCCTCCATCCACAGGTGGACCTGGGCCCACAGTCATCGCAGGTCAGCACTTAAGGGGACGGGTCACCAGTTTACTGATGGGGGAACTGAGGCTCATCCTGAAGACTCGCGGCTGAGCCCCTGGCTTGGTTCACGGGGCCGGTCAGTGCTCAGACACTCCCCTCGCCCCAGTCCCGAGTGGAAGACAGGCCGTGGCTTAGCTGCTCTGGAAGTGCAATCTATAAATACACACCTGGTTTGTAAAAAGTAATAAATTAGCTCCTGGACCAGCCTGCGGGCATCGGGCCAGCCACGTGTCCTATGACATGGACATTGGTCATGTGTCTTCTACGAACCACCAATCATGTGTCCTATCATGTGTGGGGCTAGGACCCCTGACCACTGACCCACAGGCCACCCTGCAGGTTCCATGCAATGTCACGTGGAACTCTGCCACGTGTGACCTCCTGTGTCATGCATCACATCACGACACCCTCATTAGGCCACACGTCCCTCCCGGTCATGCATGTCACGTGTGATGCAAGGTGGTCCGTTGGCCACACCAGGCTCCTGAAAGTCCTCCCTGAAGACTGTAGCAGGACACGCGTGGCCCTCCCTCCTGGGGCAGGGGACAGGGGCGCCTGCTGAGGCTCTTCCTGAGCCTCAATCCAGGCGGGCGCACGTTGGCATCACTGGGCTGGATCCAAAGGGTGTGAGGGGGCCATCAAGTCCCCCGAGGGGCCTGCCGCTCGTTGGGGAAGAAGGCGAAGTCCAGCCGGGGCTCCTGGCTCTGCAGACGCTGGGCCGCGTCTGGGGGGATGTGGTTATTCCAGAGGCTGCGGGACACAGAGACGGGCACTCAGCACCGTCCTCTCGTCTCTGCCCTCCGTCCTACCCGCAGACGGGAGAGCGAGGCCGCAGGGGGAGAGCTGTGTCCAGAGACGCCCGGCAGAGGCAGGTGTTAGACCCGCAGGGCCCCCCAGGGAGAAGGTGCTCGCCACCCCCACCCCGACTTCCACTCGTCTTCCTGCCAGAGAGCTGGTGATCCCGGCTCATGTGACACCCGCCAAGCAAGGGAAAGCTCCCCTTTCTGTTGTTGATCCTCACCCGAGGGCATCTTTCCATTGACTTTTAGAGAAGGGAAGGGACGGGGAGAGACAGAGGGAGGGACATCTACGGGAGAGACACGTCGGCTGGTTGCCTCCCGCACGTGCCCTGACCAGGGCCAGGGGTCAATCTTGCAACCGAGGTGCGTGCCCTGGACCGGAACCGAACCCGGGACCCTTCAGTCCTCAGGCTGAGGCTGTCCACGGAGCCCGACTGGCTGGGGTTCAAGCTCCCTTCCTAAAGGCACTTTACCTGCATCATCTGAAATGCTCACGACCTAGTGGTTTTCGTAGGACAGAACGCCTCACTGTTGTCTGCCAGCCGGCTAGCGTGCCCGCGGGGTGCATGGTGCCTGAGAGGCGAGGCCCCTGCGCAGGGCACAGCCTACACACCCAACCGGACGCGGTGCCTCTGGTTAAAGCCCCCACAGCGAGTGCTGGCCATGAGCCAGAGCTGTGCTCAGTGCCTTCTCCCACCATCGGGTCCCCCGGCAGCTCCGCGCGAATGCGGTCATAGCCCCATCGTATAGACGGGGGGGGGGGGGGGAGGGGGGGGGGGGGGTGAGGCTGGGGGAGGTCGAATCACTGATGCAGTCGCACAAGTGGGGACGGCAGAGATGGAACCTGACGGGGTTACTTGTGGCCAGCTTCCTGGTGGAGTGGCCAAGTCTCCCTGACAATCCCCAGCCGGGTCCCCTTACACTGGAGGTCGGTGAGGCCTCCCACCACCGTCCTGGCCCCAGCACGTCCATTACCGGATGACTTGGATGCCAGAGCCCCGCGCCAGCCCTTCAGCCAGGAGCCAGGCTCCGTCCGCTGTGATCCGATTCTTCTCCAGACTTCCCGAGGCACAGCGGAGGAAGGGGAGAGACAGACGGTCAAGGGTCAAAGGTTAATGGTCAAAGATGAGGGGTCAAGAGTCAAAGGTCAGGGGTCCAGGGTCAATGGTTAAGGATCTAGGGTCAAGGGACTAGGGTTAAGGTTATGGTTGTTAGGGCTGTTGAGGGTTATGGTCAAAGGTCAGGTGTCAAAGGTCATGAGTCAAAGGCCATGGATCACAGGTCAAATGTCAGGGTCACTGGTCAAAGTTCAGGGGGTAAAGGTCAAAGATCAATGGGGCAAAGGTCAGTGGTCAGGGGTCAAGTTCTAGCATCAAGGGACTAGCCCAGGGGTGGGCAAACTTTTTGACTCGAGGGCCACAATGGGTTCTTAAACTGGACCAGAGGGCCGGAACAAAAGCATGGATGGAGTATTTGTGTGAACTAATATAAATTCAAAGTAAACATCATTACATAAAAGAGTACGGTCTTCTTTTTCAATAGTTTTATTCATTTCAAACGGGCCGTAGTTTGCCCACGGCTGGATTAGGGTCTAAGGTTAGGGTTAGGGTTGTTAGGGCTGTCAAGTGTTAGGGTCAAGGGTCAGGGGTAAAAGTCAGGGGTCAAAGGCCAAGGGTCAAAGTCTAAAGGTCAGGTGGTCGATGGTCAGGGGTCAAAGGTGAAGGTGAGGGTAAGGTTTAAGGGCTAAGCGTTAAGGGTTAAGGGATTAGGGGTTAGGGTTAGGCTAGGGCTAGGCAAGGAGGGCTTCCTGGAGGCAGAGGCCTGATCCATGGCCTCTGGGCTCACCCAGGACGGAGGTCCCCTCTGGCCCGCCCGCCCCCCTGGCTTCCCAGGATGGGCCCCTCTTACTCCACACTCTTCAGCCGCTGCATCCGAGGCAGGACCTGGGCCAGTTCGGCAGCCGCCTCGTCCCCAAGCAGGTTCCAGGACAACCTGCAGGACAGGGGCCCCGGTCGGCATCTGGAGAGCAGGGAGGGGGAGGGCTGGGCCGACAGGCTCCAGAGTCCCTGATGGGCGCCGTGTGCCCTCCCTGAAGACTTCTCAGGGCACAGGTGGCTCCTCCCCCCAAACCCGTTCCCAGGCTGGTCATCCTTCAGAACCCAGGCAGATCCGGACCTGGCTGTCCCCAGAGTCCAGTACACTTGGTTTGTAATGGTCCAAACTCCCAGCATGCGTGTGCTCCATCGTGACTTTTGTCACATCCATGCACCTCTTGTGTTATTATCTGTTGCCTATTTTTCTACACACGCACGCACGCACACACACACACACACATTTATAATTGATTTCAGAGGGGAAGGGAGAGGGAGGGGGAGAGGGAGATAGAAACATCAATAGTGAGAGAGAATCATGGATCGGCTGCCTCCTGCACGCCCCACACTGGGGATGGAGCCTGAAACCCAGGCCTGTGCCCTGACCGGGAATCGAACCGTGACCTCCTGGTTCATAGGTCGACGCTCTACCACTGAGCCACACCAGCCGGGCAAGGTTTGAACGCCTCTGATTGCCAAGGGGGTGGTGGTGGGGGCAAGGCCGGTGGGCAGGTGGGGGGCCTGCCGGCTTCAGCTCCTCTTCACTGCCAACAGGTGGTTTATAAATCAAGGTCCCATAAGCCAGGCCAGGCACCTCCCAAAGGGAAGATCGGGGCAAAGAGCCTCTAGGGACCGGCTGGTCCACCTCCCCTCCCGCCACTCACAGGCGGGGACACAGGCACGCGAGGCCGTGGACACAGGGCCCACCTGTGCCACTCGCAGCTCACGTGTGAAAACTGCCTCCAGAGGAGAACTGAGCGAGAATGATCTTCCCACTTAGCCGCCGGAGGGCTCTGGGGGGAAGGGAGCAGTTCCCTGCCCCAGCAGGCCAGGGCCACGCCCCGGTGCCCACACTCACAGGATTTCTTCCAGGGCCGGGCAGAGCATGAAGCTGGCAGCGAGGAGCTTGGCAGCCTGGTCGTCGATCTCACAGGAAACCAGGCTGGGGAAAGAGCGGGACGGGATGGAGGTGTCTGAGTCGGGCAGCTCCCCAGCCCCTTCCCCCTGCTGTGCCCGGAGCAGGAGGGAGCGGAGTAGCCAGGGGCCGGGGCACGGGGGAGTCTTAGAAAAGTGCCCCCTTTGGTCCCAGGCTCCCCCGGACCTGAGGCCTCTGTCGCTTCAAAGGCTTTCCCGCCCAGCTGGTGTGGCTCAGTGGTTGAGCATCGACCCATGAGCCGAGGGGTCACCAGCTCGATTCCCAGTCAGGGCACATGCCCGGGTTGCAGGCTCGATCCCCAGGACGGGGCGTGCAGGAGGCAGCAGAACGATGTCTCTCTCATCGATGTATCTCTCTCTCTCTCTCTCTCTCTCTCTCTCTCTCTCTCTCTCTCTCTCTCTCCCTCTCCCTTCCTCTCTCTCTCAAATCAATAAAAACATTAAAAAAAAAAAAAAGGCCTTCCCAGGTGTCAGAGAGGGCTGCCCCCGCCCTCCCACCCAGCTCCAGGGAGTCCGGGGGCTACTTACTCTATCTGCCTCAGCCGCGGGAGCCCCTGATGGAAGTGGGGGACCTGTCTGGCCAGGGTGTTCTCTGCCAAGCTGAGGGGCAGAGACACTGTGAGAGGAGCCCCCTGACGCCCCCTCCCGTCCCCGTGCCCAGGCTCCACGGCGCCCACTCACCTGATCTCTTCCAAATGCGGGCATCCGTCCAGGGCCCGGCCCAGGCTCAGCGCCGCCTCTGGGCTCAGACGGCTGGACCGCAGGCTGGGGAAAGGGGAGGGGGAAGGGGAGTCTTGGGGAACCATGTGGGGGCTGGGGGGCTGGATCCCCCTCTCACAGCCTTGTCTCAGGCTATGCCGCCAGACCTCAGATGGTCTCTGGGTAACAGCCATCCCCAGCCACACAGGACCCAGGACGTATCAAGGACCCTGGCTTTGGAGTCTGAGATCACAAGTTCAAGGCCTGGCTCCATGTGTTAGGAAGGTAAGCTCTCCACCCCTCTCCTGCTTGCAGTTCTGCTGCCTGGAAATGTAGCAAATAAAGCCCCAGCCCCCCAGGGCCGCTGCGAGGCTCAGTGAGACCGTGGACACACACTAGAGTGCTGGGCCGTGCGGCTGGACGCTCTTCTCCCGCACGGCCCTCTGCTGACACGTCCTGGCTCACCCTCAGAGATGCGCTCAGGAGCCTTGTAACTCTTTTGCAGATGAGGAAACAGACTCAGAGGGGCAGGGCCCGGCCATGGGCACACAGGGGCAGTGGCTGAGCCTGGGCTAGGCTCCCCAGACTCCAGAGGCGGGGGAGAGCAGGCGGGAGAGTGGGCAGCCAGCCCAGTACATGCCAGTTTGCCCAAAGGCAGGGCAGCTCAAGGGACGAGGACCCTGACCCCCAAGCACTCATGGGGGAGCCCCGCCCACTAGCCCGGCACACACCACAGGCGGGGACACTCACTGCAGGACTCTCAGGTGCGGGGGCAGCGCCCGGGCCAGCCCCAGGGCTGTGGGGTCCCCCAGGGCATTGCAGCCGAGCCTGGAGGAAGAGAAGGGATGAGGCTGAGCACCTGGCTGGCTGCCTCAGACCCCGGCCTTGTACCTCCCAGGGGAGATGAGGGCCAGGTGGGCCTTGGGGACACAGAGGGCGGAGGCCAGTCCCCCTGGGCACACACTCACATCAGCTCCTCCAGGTGCTTGCAAAGGGCGAGGGACTCCACCAACTGCACTCCCCCAGCCGGGCAGATGCCATTCGCTGAGAGGCTGTGGAGGGAGGGGGGCAGACATCAGACCCTCGGACCCCCCATTTCCTCCTCCACCCCCCCATCTCCTGGGGCCCTAAGAGACAGCATCCCCACGGCACACCCTCCCAGCCCGGTGGGGCAGAAAGGCCCGGAGAGGGGCAGGGGCTGGGCTGCTCGAGGTCCCAACGTGAGCAAGGCCGGGAGGTAGCTCAGCGCCACTGGCTGGGCACTGAGGCTGAAGTTCAGCCTGAGGCAGAAGCCAGGGCCTCCTCAGACCATGGGGCAGCCCCCGAGGGCCCCTGTGGGGAGGGCTGGCCACTCACTCTACCCTCCGGAGCTCAGGCAGCCCGGGCAGGACAGCAGCCAAGTGCTGGGCACCCGCGTCTCCAATCTGGTTGTGGCTCAAGCTTGGAGAGAAAAACAGCAGAACGGGAAGCATCCGCCTGCCCCCCAGCTGGTAGGTTCCCATCCCCATCCCCATCCCAGACCAGGAGGAGGCTAACGTCTGGAGGAAGGCCTAGGCTCACTGATAAAGGCCCTCCCACTATGTTGGGTGACGACTCCAAGCTCGTATCCCGTGTTTACGACGTCCTGCCTGATGTCTGCCCTCGCTGCCTCCTGCTGCCATCAACACGCTCACATCCTAACCATTGGGTTTCCCGGGCCCTACGGCTGGGGTTACGCCGCGCAGGAGGGGGCGAGGGGACTAGTGTCACCAATATGTGAGGAGTGTCTTCAAGGAGCCTCTTGCTTTTGTCATCTCCCCCCCGCCAACGTGTTCTGGGGCCGGGGGCGGGGACAGGCAACTCACCCCAGCTCCTCCAAGCTGGTGGCGGCTTTGAGGGCCTTGGCAAGGCGGGAGCAGCCGACGTCACCAATGTCGTCCCCACTCAGGCTGGGGAAGCAGGGAACAGGCCAGGAGGCCATCGTCAGGAGTGAAGGCCTCGGCAGGGGCTGTGCTACGGACTCTACAGCTTGTGAAGCCTTTACACGTCTAGGGACTCACAGGCCAGCCATCCGGCTTCGGGAGGAAGGCTGGGCCAGGTGGGCATGACTGTACCCAGTGTCCGGGGGAGAAGACAGAGGCCCGGGGAGGAGCCGGGGCTGGTTTCAAGCCCCCCCAGGCGGAAATGCCAGCCCAGGCGGAAATGCCAGCCCCGGCCAGGCGGAAATGCCAGCCCAGGACTGCGGGCCTGGCGGCTGAGGCCACATGTCCTGGTCTGAGCCGACTTGGCCTCAGCCCCACATCAGGGATCTCCAGCCAGCCCCGCCGAGTGCCAAGTTCATGTGGGTTCCACACTCAGGCAGTTTCCCCAGGCATCTTCTGCTAATCCGTGCAAATGGTGGCTTATCCTCAAACCCGTCGAGTGTCTTTTCTGAGCCCTGCCTGAGCCCTGCCCCTGGGAGTGGGAAAAAATTAAACGCAGCCTATGCAAACTGAGCCTCACACTAGCTATTTGTCTGAGGGTTGTTTTCTTTTGCAAATTAAAATTAGCCATCTGCCTTCCCTTAAATTATGGGGGAAATGGCCTGCTCCCACATGCTCTGCTCCCCAAACCCTCTGACCTCATTTCCTAGCGCTCTGCAGTGCTGGGGGGTGGAGGGTGGGGGGTAGGGGGTGGGGGTGGGGGGCGCGGGGCATGGACGGGGGTAAGAACAAAGCAATGCCTGGTGTCATGCTTGGGTGTGTGTGTGTGTGTTTTTAAAATATAATTGTATTGATTTCAGAGAGGAAGGGAGAGGGAAAGAGAGAGAGATAGAAACATCAATGATGAGAGAGAATTACTGATTGGCTGCCTCCTGCGCGCCCTCTCCCGGGGATCAAGCCCGCAAGCTTGGTAAGTGCCCGTGATTGGAATCAAACCTGGGACCCTTCAGTCTGCAGGCCGACGCTCTGTCCACTGAGCCAAACCAGCCAGGGCTTAGGTTTGTTTTTAGTCATCGTGTTTTGTATTTTGAAATATCACATGGAAAGAGCGCGTGATATTTGTTTATCAAAGTGGCCAGGGCCGCAGGGGACACTGTCAAGGTCACCAGATCTGAGTCTAGGCCAGAGATTTTCAACACGTATGCCGCAGGAGTGCTTAACACGCAGCACCCGCCCTGGCCAGGTAGCTCCGTCGGCTAGAGCATCGTCCTGATATGCCAGGGGTGTGGGTTCAATCCCAGTCAGGGCACATACAAGAACAGGCCATACCTGACTATGTAGTCAAGGGCACTGGCTTCTTTTCTGTTAGATTGCCAAAAAAAAAAAAAAAAATGACAACAGCCAACACAATAACATCTGTCTGGTGTGAATGAATCAAAATTATACCCTTGCTCAATGGGCGCGGCTCAGTGGTGGAGCGTCGCCCCATGAACCAAGAGGTTACCGGTTTGACTCCTGGTTGGGGCTCATGCCCGGGTTGCAGGCTCGACCCCCCAGTAGGGGGGTGTGCAGGAGGCAGGCGATCAGTGATGTTTCTATCTCGCTATCCCTCTCCCTTCCTTTCTCTCTACAATCAATAACAACATATTTTTAAAAATTATACACTTTTTTTGGTCACATCAACATTTTTTTTTGGTGTGCCACAGAATGTTAGTAATTCGTCTGTGTGTGACACGCGATGGAAAAGGTTGAACTCGCTGGTCTAGACCTTCACTATTCAGTGTGGTCTGGGGCCCCAGAAGAAGTACCTCGAGGGAGCTGGTTAGACACGCAGAATCTAGGCCAGTGGTTCTCAACCTTCTGGCCCTTTACATACAGTTCCTCATGGTGTGACCCAACCATAACATTATTTTCGTGGCTACTTCATCACTGTCATGTTGCTACTGTGATGAATCGTCATGTAAATATCTGATATGCAGGATGGTCTTAGGCGACCCCTGTGAAAGGGTCGTTCGACCGCCAAAGGGGTCGCGAGCCACAGGTTGAGAACCGCTGCTCTAGGCGAACCGGACCCAGGGAACCAGATGCAGGAAGAGTTTGTGCACACGGAGGGCTGGTTGTTCTGGGACTTGGCCCCCACCCCTCAGGCCACTTTTGTAGCCGGGAGGGAGCTGGTGGCATTGAAAGGCAAGGGCAGTGGCAGCAGCTGGCAGGATGCCGGAATGTCCCAAGGTCAGGGGCTCAGTGCATCCTGGGCCAGTGGTCCCTGTGGAGCTGGAGATCGAATCCTCCCACTCACGCCCATGGGGCCGCTGGGACACTCACCAGAGGCTCTGCAGGCGGGTCATGTGGCTCAGTCCTTGCACGAGTACAGCCAGGGTGGAGTCGTCCAGGGGGAAGTGGCTGAGGCTGGAGGGGAGGAGCCAGAGGAGGCCTTGGCATTGCTGGGGTTGGGCCCCACGTGCAGATCGAGGCCCGTCAGTCCAGCTGCCTGAGGCCTCAGTGCTTGGCAATGCCAGCTGCCCAGACAGCCACCTCCACACGGTACCAAAATATCGCACACAACAAAACTGCCCTGGGGAAGCCAAACGCCGGTTCCCAGCACGAATCATGACAGCCATCCCAGCAGCAGCTCCATTTCTGAACCACACGGGACCCGGACTACTGATCAGTAACCAGAGAGACCACATATCCAGGCTCAGGGCCATCCTGGCTGGTGTGGCTCAGTGGTTGAGCACGGTCCTGTGCGCCGAAAGGTCGCCGGTTCAATTCCCGGTCGGGGCACATGCCCGGGGTGCTGGCTCCATCCCCAGTACGGGGCGTGCAGGAGGCCACCAATCAATGTTTCTCTCACATGGATGTTTCTCTCTCTGTCTCTCCTTCTCCCTTCCTCTCTCGCTAAAACAGCGGTTCTCAACCTGTGGGTCGCGACCCCTTTGGCGGTCGGACGGCCCTTTCACAGGGGTCGCCTAAGACCATCCTGCATATCAGATATTTACATGACGATTCATCACAGTAGCAACATGACAGTGATGAAGTAGCCACGGAAATAATTTTATGGTTGGGTCACACCATGAGGAACTGTATGTAAAGGGCCAGAAGGTTGAGAACTACTGCTCTAAAATCAATAAAAACATATTTAAAAAAAAAAAAAGAGAAGAGAAAGGGCCACAGGTCTGCTCTGTTCCCTGCAGCACCTCTAGTTCTGGGTCCTGGCCCAGGTGCCCAGGTGCCCAGGTGAGTCCATATTTGTCAGATGCATACATGAGCCCATGAATCACCTCATTGGCCTCCAACCCTCCAAACAAAAGCCCCCAGAGGCAGGGAGGCTGAGCAGAGGGGCAGGCACATGGAGGGGGACAGTTCAGTGGGAAGACACGTGAGCCTTCTGGTCAAAGTCGCCCTAATACCACCCCCATCCCTGGGCCAAAGGGGGGGAATTTCATTGTGAAGAAGCAACGAGTCAGAAGGCCACTTCTGCACTGTATCCAAAACACAGGTCAGTGATCTGGAGCAAAGGTTACCAACTGTCCTTTCAGAGCCGTTTTCCCTGGAATGTCGCCCTCAGGGATCGCATGTCCGCCGCTGCATATTTCTACCATGACGAACTTTAGAACGAGCGCGTGTGTTTGGTCATGGGAAGAACTCAGAGATTAAAAGCAGGAGATCCCCTGTTAAATGCTCCATCTAGATGTTACTAAGTCTGTGTGAGATGGGGCCTCGCCTTCAGACCGAGGCTGTTTCTGGTGTTTCTAAGAATTTTGCTTATTTCAAAACTATAACTTCTAGGCCACTTCTGGGCTATAAATGCCAAATTATAAAAGTTGCCAGAACCTAAAAAAAGGCGGTAGGCAAACGGCAGTGGACATCTGTGGATTGTTTTTGTGCCGAGATTCTGTTTCCCTTTGCTCTGTGAACAGCACCCTGAAATACCACCCCCCACGAAGTCCAGGGCATTGGGTGGGCCCGTGACCCAGATCGGGCCAATCAAAATACGGCGTGCTCAGAGCCACAGTGATGGGTGTAGGAATGGCCATGTGACCCACCCTGGTCCAGTGAGCGTCAACCAAAGGCCTTTGGGGTGGGTGCTGGGAGGAAGTACCAGTAGCTATAGCTGCAGGAACAGCCTGCCTGAGAACGAAGTCGAGAGGGAGAGAGCCCTGGCCAGTTAGCTCCGTGGTTAGAGCGTCGGCCTGCGGACGGAAGGGCAGACGCCTGGGTTTCATGCGGGAGGCAACCAATCCATGTGTCTCTCTCTCTTATCAATGTTTCTCTCTGTCTCTCTCTCTCTCCCTTCCACTCTCTCTAAAAAACAAAAACCAATGGGAAAAAATATCCTCGGGTGAGGATTTAAACAAACAAACATAAAAGGTGGGAAGGGAGAGAGCCAGAAAGAAAGGCAGGGGTGGGGTGGTGGGAACAAACATAGAACCTGGATCCAGCCAAGCCTGAAGCCAGCCGCCCTGTAATATCCTGAGACGTGAGCCCGTGCGTCTCTGGCTTGGGTGGGTCGGGGTGAGTGAGCGTGTGACAGCCCTCAGAGCCAGGTCAGGGAGTAAAGAGGAGGGCGCCCAGCTCACCGGGCCATTCGGGGATCGGACAGTTCGTGGTCACAAAAGCTGCCAGGGCGGCTAGGCCTGCTCCCAACAGCCCTTCCCGGCATGAACCTCAGCACTTACTCGAGCCTCCTCAGCCAGCTCTTGCCTTCAAGGGCCCCCGCCAGCACCGTGGAGGCCTCCTCGCCAAGTTGATTGTTAGACAAGCTGTGGGGGGGACCAGGCGCGAGGGGAGGGTTAGACAAGTCTGCCCAGCCCCGGACCCCTCAGTGCCCGCAGGAGCCCATCCTAGCCCACCCCTCCTGTCCAGGCTCCCTGGGGGCATTCCTGGCTCCAACAGTCAGGCTCCGGGGTCCTTGAGGAGGGGGCATGGCCGTCACAACTGACCGGGCTAAGAAATGATGCCCTGAATGAGGGCTGCAAAAGAGGAGGCCAGGGACACCCCCCCCCCCCCCCCCCCCCGCCACACACACAGTGGTCTTTTCTGTTCATCCACAGCCACCTGGGCAGAGAAGGGTTATGACCAGGTTACAGATGAGGCATGCAAGCCTGGAGAGGTGCAGCTTTGTGCCCAGGACACTCTGAATGAGGGGTGGAGTTGGGACCAAGAACACAGCGCCCAGCCTTCCCCAGGCCACACCCAGAGAGGCTGGGCTTCATCAGGAAGAAAGTGATCCCTTGATGTCCACTCCCCAGCTCCCCAAAGCCCCACCTCCCTGTCCTCTCCACCCCTGGCCCTCAGCGGGGCCAGCCCTTCCCAGACCCCTCCTCCCTGAGACTCACTCCAGCTCCTCCAGGTGGCGACAGCGGCTCAGACCAGACGCCAGGGGGGCCAGGCCCCCGGAGCTCACGCAGCTGGAGGCCAGCCTGGTGGGGGTCAGAGGGCAGCATGTCAGGCAGGAGCTCTGGGTCTTGGGGGCTCTGAATGCTGATGGCGGAGGGCAAGGAAGTGGGGGGGAAGCGGGAGGGGGTCCTCCTTTCCTTCATAAATCTCTCCCCCTGAATCAGCAAGTTGAGACATTGCCTGGAGGCAGAAATAGTTGTTTTCCTAAACCATCATCATTCAGATGGCAGCTTCACAACTTACGCCATAAGTGGGCATCACTGTCAATCTAGCTAGTGACTGCCCATGTCCATGAGCTCTGCGCCTTTATTTAAACAACAACAACAAACAAAAGAAGCAAGTATGGAGCAGCGTTAAAGACTCATTGGCGCCCCAGCCAGTGTGGCTCAGTGGTGGAGTGCCAACCTACGAAGCAGGAGGTCACGGTTTGATTCCCATCAGGGCACATGCCCGGGGGGTGGGCTTGATCCCCAGTACGGGGCGTGCAGGAGGCAGCTGATCAATGGTTCTCATCATTGCTGTTTCTCTCCCTCTCTTCCTCTCTGAAATCAATACAAAAAAAGTATTAAAAAAAAAAAAGACATATTGGCAAAGGAGACCTTCTCTGGGATGCAAACAGTGGGATTAACACAGAATTGAAAGTTAGGAAAGTCTCATTTTGCAACCATCACACTGGTTATTTGGTTCAGGCAAGGATTGCCAACGGATGCCAAAACTCCGTGGGTGAAAGTGTGAGGCAGAACAGGAAGTTTACAGAAACTTAACGCAGCTCCGTCAAAGGCACTTGCTGATGAGAGAGAAAACAAACAGGGGCTGTGGGACTGAAGACACCTGGCAGATGCCACCTAAACCAGGTGCTCACAGTTCACGTCCCCGGTCAGGGGACGAACAGGCGTCACGGACGTGCAGATGTGACGAGCTGAGGACACACGGAGCCTCTGAGGTGCTCCAGCCCAACATGCAGAGCCTGCATCTCAGCTCGAGGGGACGTCGGACAAGCCGGGCTGCGGGGCGGCGGACAGAGTAACCGGCGTGTGGCTGTCATGACCATATCATGGAAGACAAAGGGCCGGGGACCTGCTCCACATGAAGGAGACCAAGGGGAGATGGCAACTCACGGCCGTGTGTGGTCCAGGGCGGGGTGGGTCGGGGGTCGGGGGGGGGGGGGAGATGCAATAAACATCATTATTGGGACAATTGGCAAAACTGGAATATGAACTATAGTTTAGATAATAGAAGCGTGTTAGTGTGAGATTTCATGTTTTTTTCTGGATCCAGGGAAACACTGTCCTCTTAGGAAACTCACTGAAATGTTAAGGGAGGAAGGGGCATGCTTATGCAACTCCTTTTGAAATGTTTGAAAAGGGGAGAAAGAGGGAGAGGGGAAGGAACGAGGGGAGGGGTGAGGGAAGAGGGAGGGAAGAGAAGATGAGAGCCAATGTGAGAAGAATCCTGACGAAGGATGAATTTGGGAAAATGGTACATGGAAGTTCTCCGTCTTCTTACAGCTTTGCGCTTAGATTGCAATGATTTCCAAGTCATAAAGCAGCGGTTCTCAGCCTGTGGGTCGCGACCCCTTTGGGGGTCAAACGACCCTTTCACGGGGGTCGCCTAAGACCATCGGAAAACACATATATTATTACATACTGTTTTTGTGATGAATCACTATGCGTTAATTATGTTCAATTTGTCACCATGAAAATATATCCTGCATATCAGATATTTACATTAAGATTCATAACAGTAGCAACATTACAGTTATGAAGTAGCCACGAAAATAATTTTATGGTTGGGGGTCACCACAACATGAGGAACTGTATGAAAGGGTCGCGGCCTTAGGAAGGTTGAGAACCACTGTCATAAAGGGTGTGGGAAGGGCGATTCCTTTCTCGCCCGTGACCACGTCTATGAACACACACCCTGACACCAGCCACACCCTGGCGTCAGCTCCAGGGCTGAGCTGGGTCCCTGCCCCGGGATCTGGACCGGGTCCCCCTGAGCTCAGGCGTGGGGAGTGCGGGGTGGGCAGAGCTGCGGCCTGGGGACCGGCCTGTCCGCTTACCGGAAGGTCTTCAGCTCCGCGAGGGGCAGCAGGGAGCTCTGCAGCAGCTGGCAGCTGGCGTGGCAGAGGTTCACCTGGGACAAGCTGAAGGGCCAAGCATAGTCCAAGGCAGGTCAGGCTGGACGACCTCAGGGATCATCCGTCCCATGGAGACGGGGAGGCCCAGAAAGGGGAAAAGCCCACCAAGAGCTCCCAGTGGGGCAGCCCCCCCCCCATGTCACCCTAGGGCTGCCCCCCACCGGCCAAGTGAGATTCTCTCCTGCACGGGGAAGCAGGAATGTCAGGGTCTGGCACCACCCCAGGCTCTGCCCATCCCCATCCGGGCCCGGCCAGCCTCTCACACGTGGCCCGGAGTAGACACTGGGGCCCAGACAGTTTCGGGGCGCTGACCTGAGCTGCCTCAGCCAGGTGCACGTCTCCATCAGCTGCCTGGCAAGAAGGCTGTGGTGGGTCTCGAGGTCACAGCGAGCCAACCTGGAGGGAGGCAGCCATTTCTGAACACCTGGATCAGTATGAGGGACTCAGCCCCCCGCTAGCAAGGACCTTCCCTTGAGGGGGAGTATAAATGCCAATCAAATCAAGTCCCACCATTTACTATTCAATTATGGGAAGGAGGGGTTCAGAGGGGAGCTGGTACAGCTGTGCAGGCTGTTCACGGCACCGGGGACCTAGCCAGGGAGGGGAGCTGGGGCTGGGATCCAGCTCTGGTCTGTACACTGCAAGGCTGCATTCATCCATAAGGATGACACTTATTTTTCAAAAGAGAGGATAACGGGGGGACTTGACGAAGTCTGGGGGTCCAGAGGGGCCTTCCTGAGGTGGTGGCATTTAAGCTGAGACCTGAAGGACGAGAGGGAGTTAGCCAAGTGAAGGAGGAGGAAGAGGGGAAGACAGAAGAGGACATCTAGGCGGGGGAACCGCCTGTGCAAAGGCCCTGAGGTCAAAGGGAGCAGGGTGGTTTCGGGGAACTGAGAGCTGGAAGGGAGGCCTGGAGCTGAGGCTGGGGTTCGGGGCTGGATGGACAGCATGGAGAGGCAGATTCAAGCAGACCTCCTGGGCCACGTAGACACTTCGGGCATCCAAGCAGGGGCACGAGAAATACTGGTCAGAAGCACAGACCCCAACCCATCCCCAGCCGCTCCCTGGGGGCCCCAGGTTCTGGGTCCCACCTGCGGGCCACGGCCTCTGGGTTCTCCTGACGGGGAAATTTCAGCTGGAGGCAGAGCTGCTGCTGGCTCTCGGAGATGCTGCGGGGGAGGAGGGACCAGCGTGAGGCCGCGGCACCTTTCCCGTGTTGGTCGAGCCGGGATCCAGGCTGCTCAGCCCCCTGGCTCAGAGCTCCCGGACCCGGTGGGGACCCGGACACAGGTCAGTGGGCCCCCAAAGCCCTTGCTCTTGGCGACTCCACATCGTTCTGCCACGCCTGGTCACAGCGCCGCGATGTGCTACTGTAACCCAGGGGCCACTTCTCGGCTACGCGTGTGGACTCCCAGCCGTGTCACCGAGAGCCAACAGCCCTTTGTCTTTTTTTAAAATAATTCTTTATCGTTGACAGTATTACATATGTCCCCTTTCCCCCACTGACCCTTTCCAGCCCACCCCTCCCACCCCAGCCCTAGGCCTTCATCACCCTATTGTCTGTGTCCATACAAGGTCTTTGGTTGATTACCCCCCACCCACCCACCCTCCCCCACCTTCTCTCCGAGGTTCCCCACTCCAACAGCCCCTTGTCTTGATCTGGGGCTGCCTTCCCCTTCCTGGCACTGTGGCTTGACTACTGTGCCAGTCCCAACAAGGGTGCAGCCCCCCACAGGTGCCTATGGAGCTCCTGCCACCGTGGGGACCCAGAGAACTCACTAGTGACATGGCTCTCACCCCACAGAACAAGAGACTAATGTCCAGGTGAGGGAAGGTCCCAACAGCCATGGGGTGATGAAGAATTCAGAGGGGGCCTCCTCCCTGGACCCACCTGATCTCGGTGACGTTGCCCGAGGCCTGGGCGCAGACTTGTAGCAGGGTGAGCACCCCCGCTCTGCCCATCCACGGCTCCTCCACCCTGTCGCAGAAGCGGACACAGACAAAGGTCCCCTGGGTAAGCAGGGGGAGGGGGGGGGGAGGGGGGGGAGAGTGCCAAGGGAGTCCTAGAGGCTTTGGGGGATTTTGCTTATTTCAAAACTATAACATTATACAACCAGGCAGAAGCATAGCACAGGAAATGGCCATTCTCATCCCAGCTGTTATTGCAACGATGCAAACAGAAAATGTTATTTTTAAATAATATTTTTAGATTAAACTGAAGGTCCACATAATGTTACATCGCAAAGAGAAGGAAACAAAACAGTGTCTAAAACAAGATTGCAGTTTCCTATTTGAGGAAAGGAAAAATACGTATGGAGAGAGAGAGAGAGAGAGATGAGGAAACTATATTAAATGTTAATGGTATTTGTTTAGATGGTGGCGTTCTCGTGATGTTTTTATTTTATTTCTTCTTTAGTTTTCAATATTTCAATGATTCTCTCTCATCACTGGTGTTTCTCTCTCTCCTTCTCCCTTCCTTTCTGAAATGAATAATATATAGATATAGATATAGATACAGATACAGATACAGATATAGATATAGATATAGATATATAGATATATAGGTATATATATCTATCTATATCTATATATCTATATATATCTATATATACCTATATCTATTTATCTATATCTATCTATATCTATCTATATATCTCTATATATCTATATATCTATATAGATATATATAAAACACTTTGGCGGAAATAAAAAAATGAAGCAAATTTGGAAAAATATGAACCTAGGTGATGGGATACGAGTTTTCAAAATGATTCTCCTTTTTGGTGTCTTCTGTCTCTTTCTGAAGGTTTTAAAATGACAGGAGTGGACATACGAACACGCTATTTGTTGGATGTTATTTCTGACCTCAACTGGATGCCATTTGGAGGTTGTTGTTTTTTTTGTTAATCCTCACCCAAGGATAATTTTTCCAAATTATTATTATTTTTTTTTAGAGAAAGGGGAGGAGAAAGAGGAGGGAGTATAGAGAGAGAGAGACAGAAATATCGAAGTGAGAGAGACACGTTTATTGGTTGCCTGCCATTCACACTCCAACCAGGCCAGGGATCAAGCTTGCAGCTGAGGTACATGCTCTTGGCCGGGAATCAAACCTGAGACCCTTTGGCCCAAGGACTAACGCTCTAACCATTGAGCCCAACTGGCCGAGCATCTTTTTTTATTTTTTCTGAAGGCCCCAAGCCTAGACCCCGCCCTGGGGAAGGCAGGTTCTCTGTGTGCCTGAGGGGGTCTCTGGGACCAATGGGCAGGTCGGCTCTGTGTCCAGGTGGCAGAGTTCCGGGTGCAGGAAATGGCCAGGGCACGATCCGGGGGGACCCATACCCCAGTGCCTGCCCTGCCCTCATTCACGCCCCTGCCCCCTCCCCCAGGGGCACAGAGGAAGACGCTACCTGAGCCGGAGCAGCCCCTCCGGCCGCCTCAGCAGACGCAGGAGCAGGGTCAGGGGTTGCAGGCCCAGGCAACACCGGCTCAGCCTGGGACAGAGGTAGGTTAGACGGTGGCCCTAGGAGGGAGCCCCGCCCCTCAGCTGCCCCCACGGGCTGGCCCGTAACTCACGTGAGCTCCGTCAGGTGCCAGGCCTGGCTCAGGCCAGTGGCCAGTCTGGGCACGTGCTCCGGTCTGAAGCTGCACTCCCTGAGCCTGAGGGCAGGGTGCAGGGGGCAGAGGGCAGAGCCTGGGTGAACTCTGTCCAAGCTGCTGTCCTGCTTCCTCCCAGCCCCCCAGGGCCTTTGGGGGGGCCCCCACTGAGTGCTAAGGCCTGGACCAGGGCCTGAGCAAAGGCCAACGGTGCAGCTCCTGCCCTGGGAGCCCCCGTCTCTTTGAGAGACCGCCCCCCAAGAAAGTGCTAGAAGTGAGTCCCTTAGTGAGTCTTCGGGTGGCAGCAGGAGCGCGGGAGCTCACTGAATTCCAACAGTGACCTTCACGGACCGAGAAACTGACTAACCCCGGTGCTGGGGGTGAATGGGTGGAGGAGGCCTGGCCAGTTTGGAGGCCGTGATCACACTGAAGTCAGACATGGAGAGGAACTGACCCAGGGCAGTGGTGGAGAGAGGCGGAGGCCAAGGCTACTGAAGGGTAAATCCTATATAATAAAAGGCTAATATACAAATCAACCGGACGGTGGAATGACCGGTCCCTATGATGCGTGCTGACCACCAGGGGGCAGACACTCAACGCAGTGGCCTGGTGGTCAGTGCGCTCCCACGAGGGGGGGGAGAGGGGGGGGCGCCGCTCAGCCAGAAGCCCTGAGCTGGGCTCACAGCTGGCGAGTGCAGCAGCGGTGGGGGGGCTCCTGCCCTGGAAGAGGGCACAGGCCCCCCGCCCCCACCGAGTGCACGAATGTCATGCACCAGGCCTCTAGTAATAATAATAATAATAATAATAATAATAATAATAATAATAACAATAGCCGACAGAGCACGCAAATGAACCAGGCCCTTCCCAAGAACTTTATACACATTAACTCATTCAATCCTCACAAAAACCCCAAGGGGGATGGTCCTACCATATCCCCATTTTGCAGACGAGGAACATTGTACTGATGAAACACAGAGAGATTAAGTCCCGTGTCCAAAGTCACACAGCGGGTAAGTGATAGAGTTGGCAGTTACCCCCCAGGTGGCTCCAGGGTCCAAGCTCTTAACCCTGAGCCTCCAGACCTAGAGTTAGCCCCTGGCCAAGAGGCACAGTGTGGGGCACTGGGAGCGCACGAGGGGCAGAGAGCGTGAAGGAGGAGAGGGCCCGGTGAAGGAGGAGGCATGGAGCCTCCACAGAGTCAGCCCCGCCACCCCCCTCAGGCCCCCTCACCCCAGACCAGCAGTTACCTCAAGGTCTTCCCAGCCTCCTCCTGTCGGGAGAAGTGAATCCGGAAGCTCTGCTCAGCGCCCAGGCTGCAGAGAGAGGGTATGAGAAGCCAGAGGCTTGCCAGCATCCTCGGCACCCAGGCGCCAGGGGGCACCGGAGAGAAAGGGGCTGGGGTACTGGGGCTGGGGGAGCCATGAGGGAGAGGCCCTTCCTGAACAGAGGAGACCCCACCCCAACCAGCAAGCACACTCACGCCTGCCCTTCCCCCGTGACCTCCCTGGCCCCCGGGCATGCGGGGCTCAGAGCGTGGAAACTGTGGGCCCCCAGCCCCAGTCACACAGACAAAGGCCGCGACGTGTGGGAGCCTTGCTTCCCCCCACCAGTCGCAAGTGGCACCAATGTCTTACTTCACGGCGGCCTCCCGGATACGTGGGCAGGAAGGGAGGGTCTCCATCAGGCACAGGGCACCTTCCTGAGAGATGCTGTTGCCACTCAGGCTGGAAGAGAAACGAGGTTTGGCTGGGGTGTGGGGGCAGCACCTCCATGAGCCCTTCCCAGCCCCACTTGCCTCCCCTCCAGCTGTCATTTCCAGGAGGAGAGACCTTCAAGTCCAAGTGTCCATTCCCCAGGTGGAGGCACTGGGGTCCCGGGAGAAGCCAGAGGGCCCCATCTCCGTACGGGCAGCGTGGCCCCCGCGTCCTCCAGAGCTGCACCCTCTGGGCCTGCTGGCCTTTGGGTCTGGGACAGGCCAGGCTGGCAGCTCCGGCCCCACACAGAGCACCCAGCTCTGTTGCCTAGCAACGGGCTGTATCCTGGCCCTGGCCGCCTGCCTCCCAGATCCCTGGGGAGATCAGGGGAGAGTGTGGATGAGTTCCTGGGACCCTCCCTGCTGTGGGGACATCTCTAAACTCGTGTCCCGTGGATTTGGTCGGAGGAGCTTCAGGGACGGGGTGGACCAGGGGCTGGGACAGCTGAGATCCCGCGGCAGCTGCGTAGGGATGCATGGTGTCAGCTGCGTAGGGGTGCATGGCCACTCCCCGCACAGTCAGCGGGAGTCACCAAGCTTCAGTCGCAGCCGCTCCTGGTTGTCTGATGAAGGCTCTTCCCAGGGTGGGCAACGAGAGGAGGAGGAAAGGGCCCAACGTAGGGGTGTCAAGGTAAGAATCACCCCTTTCCCCTCCCAAGTCCTTGTCCTCTGGAGTTCTCTGGGGACCCCTCAAAAGATCGCTCCGCCTGGCCGGCGTGGCTCAGGGGTTGAACACTGTCCTATGAACCAGGAGGTCATGGTTTGATTCCTGGTCAGGGCACATGCCAGGGTTGTCGGCTCGATCCCCAGTGTGAGGCGTGCAGGAGGCAGCCGATTAATGATTGTCTCTCATCATTGATGTTTCTCTCTCTCTCTCTCTCTCTCTCTCTCTCCCTCTCCCTTCCTCTCTGAAATCAATCAATCAATCAATCAATCAAAATGTATACACATATATAAAAAGGTCCCTCCAAACCCATGCTCTGGGCCCAGGAAGGCTTCCTCTTCGCTGTCCTTGAGGCTGCTCATCACTTACTCAAGAGAACCCGAGATGGGCAACCGAGGCAGACACATCAGCAAGCACCTGAGCCCGTCGTCACCCAGCTGGTTGGCTGACAGGCTGTAGGAGGGAAGAGGAGGCGGTTGACGGTCAGAGCTGCATCACTGCCACTCCACCCACACAGCACCCTCATCACCACCTTCACATCACCCCGCATCAGCGCTGCTCCGTCCCAACATCACCACCACCAGCTTCATCCCATCGTCACTCCTTGAATTCCCCAAGCCCACTACCACCACCATCTCCACTAGGATCATCACCAATTATCACCACCACCACCACCATCTCCACTAGGATCATCACCAATTATCACCACCACCACCACCACCACCACCATCTCCACTAGGATCATCACCAATTATCACCACCACCACCACCACCATCTCCACCACCATCTCCACTAGGATCATTGCCAATGATCACCACCACCACCACCACCACCACCACCACCACCACCACCATCTCCACTAGGATCATCACCAATTATCACCACCACCACCACCACCATCTCCACTAGGATCATCACCAATTATCACCACCACCACCACCATCTCCACTAGGATCATCGCCAATTACCACCACCACCACCATCATCTCCACTAGGATCATCGCCAATTATCACCACCACCACCACCACCACCACCATCATCATTTCCATTAGGATCATCGCCAATGATCACCACCACCACCACCACCACCATCTCCACTAGTATCATCACCAATGATCACCACCACCACCACCACCACCATCATCATTTCCATTAGGATCATCGCCAATGATCACCACCACCACCACCATCTCCACTAGGATCATCGCCAATTATCACCACCACCACCACCACCATCATCATTTCCATTAGGATCATCGCCAATGATCACCACCACCACCACCACCACCACCATCTCCACTAGTATCATCACCAATGATCACCACCACCACCACCACCACCATCTCCACTAGTATCATCACCAATGATCACCACCACCACCACCACCACCATCTCCACTAGGATCATCACCAATGATCACCACCACCACCATCTCCACTAGGATCATCACCACCACCACCACCACCATCTCCACTAGGATCATCGCCAATGATCACCACCACCACCACCACCACCATGCAACAGCTTTGTGTCCCCGTCACCATCCCCCTCACCAGCACCACAGTTAACCAGTCCTCATCTTCCCCTTCAATAGCTGCTGACCACTCCCAGGACTCCAGCAGGCTTGTGGGAGTTCAAGAAAACCCAATTCGCTTTGACTATGCCCTTGGCCCGCGTCAGTTGGGAGCTGCCATTTTGGAACCAGAGTAAATTCAGGAAAAAGGTATTTGGGGGCTGTAGTTACCCAATAGAGCTCCTCTTTCAACTTGGGAATGCAGTATCGGAAATTGGGCTTCAGTGCTTTCTTACTTCCCTTCATTGGAGCAGCCTGGGGTTTTAGCCACAGTGTAGGAACAATATAACCGGCCTGCCTGGGGTATCTGATTTTGTCCTGCATCTTTGAACTCATTTTGCCCCTGATTTTGACACTCCCGAGGCTTATCTATTTCGTCTTTTCCTGAGATACTGTAAAAATTAGCTTGTTTCACAAAGCCCCTTAATCATCTTTAAAATAAGAAAAAGTGCCCTCTACAATGAAAAAAGCAAACAAACAAGAGAAAAACTCAAAAGATATATTGCTTATTCCTTTTTCGCTGACATACATAATTTTTGCCCTGGCCCTTGTGGCTCAGTTGGTTGAGCATTTTCCCATGCACCACGAGGTCGCAGGTTTGATTCCCAAGCAGGGCACACGCCTGGGTTTCAGGCTCAATCACCAGTGTGGGGCGTGCAGGAGGCAGCCGATAGATATCTCTCTCTCTCACTCACTGATGTTTCTCTCTCTCTCTCTCTCTCTCTCTCTCTCTCTCTCTCTCTCTCCCTCCCCAAAACCAACAAAAATTATTAAAATCAATAGAAAACATATTTAAAAAATAAAATACATTATTTTCATCAGCCACATTTCTCTTCTTGGCCACCTCATGACAGGAAGTTAATTTAATTTTTTTGTACAGCTCTCTTTCACTCCTGCAGACCCTTAGCTGGACTCCCTGCCAGCTGTGAAAAGACTCCACATTGTATTAGCTGTGTGACCTTGAGCAAGTCCTTAAACTCTCTGAGCCTCAGCTTCTCCATGTGCAAAATGGTGATAATAGTACCTGGGTTTGTCGGAAGGATGAAAAGACGATCTAAGGCACTTAGGTCAGTGGAGAAGTGCCCAACAGTGTTTGCTATTATTATTATTATTATTTTATTTTTCTACCCACGTGGGGGCTGCACTATTTGGGCACCCAAGACAGGCCACATGGATACCGCTTCTCAACAGCACGAAGGCTCACGAATCCCGGCCCAGCTGGCTCCGGGACCCCGCTCAGGCCGAGGCATGTGGTACCTTTAACCCCCTGCCAGGCAAACCAATGGACCCTTCGCTTTGTGCCCATCAGCCAGCAGAGCTCCGATGCCTTGATCAACGTGAGGCCAACGGGCTCCTATGGCCCTTATGAAGGGCTCCCCAACTTAGATCCAGGCACACTCTGAACTAGCTCCACTACGGCAGGAGTAGGGGTGGGTGGGAGGGATAACATGGTACAGAGAAACCTTAAGGGTGTGACCCACAGTCCTGGGCTGGGGTTGAGGCGTGCGCGCACACACACACCCCTCCAGTGCCACCCAGGTGCCTGATCCCAGACTGCTCTCCCTGCTCCTCTCCTCATACTTACTCCAGCTGGCTGAGGTCCTCACACTTCCTCAGCAACTCGCACAGTGGCTCCACGTGCATCTGGCTGAGGCCGCAGCCCGTGAACCTGCTGGGGGAGGGGGAACGAGCCGGAGCTGGGGCGGTGAGCCACTCAGACCCACTCCGCCCTGGCTTGTCCTGGTGTGGCCTCCCCCAAGCTTGGGCTCTCTGGGGCTATCCACTTCCACCACTTCCACCTTCCCCACAGCCGGTCCCACTGGCGCCCCTGTGCTCCCTCTGGGGAGGTGGCTCTCGAAGGGGGAACTTGCTGAGATGCAAAGTCTGCGAACTCAGCCCAGCCCCACTGAGTCAGCACCTCTAGGGGCAAAGCTCTCTGACTCAACCTCCAGCTGGAGAATGCCAGCTCTTGGGGTCATTAAAAATTCTATCTATATATAAAAAGGTAATATGCTAATTGGTCTTAACAGTGTCCCAGTCATGACCGGTCAACGGGCTGCATGTGCACAGGAGCTGGTGGGCGGGAACAGGGCCAGGGACTTGGTTGGGGACACAGTCAGGGGGGCCTGCCTGAGCCACCATGGCGCGGCTTGAGCAGGCCTGGAGCGGATCTACTTAATTCCCTTTTAATGTGCACGAATTTCACTCGCCGGGCCACTAGTATGTATATATTTTTAGAGAGAGGAAGGAAGAGAGAGAGAGAGAAACATCATCCAAACCACAAGTGTGTGCCCTGACCAGGAATTGAACCGGTGACCTTTTGGTGCACGGGACAACGCCCAACCAACTGAGCCACACAAGCTAGGACTCAGAGTCATTTTAACGAAAAGTCATGGGGTAGGGAGCAGGGTGAGATCTACTCTTGAGAAGGCTATTGTTGCTGGAATGAAAATGAGTGGCGAATCTGCCTTTGAAAGGCTTAACCTTCAACTATATAACAAGGCAAAGGAAGAGCCTGTGACCAGCCAGCAACTGAGGGGGAAAAAATCTTAAAATCAGAAAGTTCCTAAAATCCATATTTCACATTTTTATCACTGTTACCTTCCTTCCTTGTTTTCCCCACAGTCCTAAATCCCCTTGTACCCTATTTTTACTTTCTATTTTCAAGTCAGCTCATTCTGGTTTAATTCCTTTATTGTAAAAGGAAACCCTGTGTCACTCACTCTGATGGGAAACTGGCATCACGTGCCACACACAGGCCATAAGCGTAAGAACACACGAGAGCAAAACCCCAGCATTAAAGCCCAGCCAGAGACGCACACCTGCCGAGGGCTCTCTCTCTCTTAAAAAGGGAGCTTAGTGTTGAGACATGTTAAACACCCGCTAACACACCACCGAGACCTCCTCCTGGTCGTAGACACACGGAATCGTGACCTCACGAAGGAGTCAATGAACTTGAAGGAGTCAATGAACTTGAAGGAGTCAATGAACTTGAAGGAGTCAATGAACTTGAACACTGACTCTGCTATCTTCCCAACTCCCTAAAAACCACCCCACCCCGGTCAGGGTCCTACATTTCGGGAACCTCTGACTTGGGAACTATCGCTGGGCTAGGACAGGAGTCAAAAGCTACAGCTAAGCCCGGCTGGCGTGGCTCAGTGGTTGAGCATCAACCTATGAACCAGGAGGTCACGGTTAGATTCCTGGTCAGGGCACACGCCTGGGTTGTGAGCTCGATCCCCAGTGTGGGGTGTGCAGGAGGCAGCCAATCAATGATTCTCTCTCATCATTGATGTTTCTATCTCTCTCTCCCTCTCTGAAATCCATAAAAAATATATTTTAAAAAAAGACTCAACCAATGAATGCATAAATAAGTGGAACAATAAGTCGATGTCTCTTCTTCTTCTCCTCCTCACACCCCCCTTCCTCCTCCTCCTCCTTCTCCTCCTCCTCTAAAGAATGGTGCCTTCAGAAGCTCAACAAATATCAGCTCTTCTGCTTCTTAGTTCACAGCTGAGGTGCAGCCAGAAGGGTCTGGTCCAAGGGCTCTGAGGAGCCAGTGGCAGAAATGTCATCTCTGCACTCAGAGGTCACCCTCCCATTAGCCTGCCTCCACGCAATACCTCCCCCCTCAGCCCGCAACCACAGAGCACTGGTCCCGGAGTCAGCAGGGGGCACTGGCACATGTGACACCCATGCCTGACATGTCGCCTCATGTAATCCTTGCAAGCGCCCTGCAGCACGGGGTCTCCCGTCTCCAGCAGCAGGAGCCGAGGATCAGAGAGGTCAAGGAACTTGCCCCAAGTGCCAGGCCTCGTGGAGCTGGGATTAAAGCCTGGTGGGCGGTTATGAAGTCCCTTTCCTCCAGCTCCCAGTTCTGGGCCAGTCTGACGTGTACCCCTTTGCCCTTGACAAAGCCCACCCTCTCTGGAGCCTTGCTTCCTTTTAAAATTATTTTTATATTGATTTTTTTTTTTTTTTTAGAGAGAGACATCAATTTGTTGTCCCACTTATTGATGCATTCATTGGTTGGTTCTTGTATGGGCCCTGACTAGGGATCGAACCCACAACTTTGGCATATAGGGACAATGCTCTAACCCAGTGGTCGGCAAACTGCGGCTCGCGAGCCACATGTGGCTCTTTGGCCCCTTGAGTGTGGCCACGAAGTTTCGATCGCACTGTACGTGCGCGCCTGCACGTGGCATTTTGTGGAAGAGCCACACTCAAGGGGCCGCAGTTTGCCAACCACTGCTCTAACCAACTGAGCTCTAACCAACTGTCCAGGCTGGAGCCCTGCTTCTTCACGTTGGAGGAAACAAGTCCCCTTGCAGGTCCTTCTTGGGGAGCTCTCTGCACAGTCTCTGCTGTCTGTCCTCTCGCTACCAGGGGGTAGGTCTCCTGGTCCCACTATCCACTGGCTGCCAGGGCACCGCCCCAGGACTTACCCACAGCGCCCGCCTTTCTGCTCCTCGCTAGACTTGAAGTACAGGGTGGCATCATGCAAGGACCTGGAGCACACGGTACCTGGGTCAGCCACCTGGCCACAGCCTTGGATGCCCCCAGGAGGCACCCCTCCTCCAGGAGCCCAGCCTCTGACGTGGGTCCTACTGCCTCCATCCTACCCCTCACACCCACCAGGCTTCAGGCACAGCCCCCAAGACCAGCCCCGTTGCCCCTGGGCAATGCCCACCTGAGATCCACCTTCTCCACTCGTGGGCACAGGCCGAGGAGGTGAGCCAGCAGAAAGGGGCTCCTTGGGGACAGTGGCGTCTGGCTCAGCCTGAGGAGGGAAGGGGCGACCCCAAGTCAGCAAGTCGGAGCCGGGCAGGCTCAGTGGGCAAGGAGCCGGGACAGGTTGGCGGGCAGGAACCGGGGGCAGCAAGGGCGGCACCGCAATGAGGAAGCGGGGACTCAAGAGGGACACATAAGGGCTTGGGGTCAAGCAGGCTGGGGTTTGAGCCCCAGCTCTGCTTACTGGCTGTGTGTCCCTGCATGAGTCATTCAAGCTGTCTGAGCCTCAGTTTCCCTACATGGACAACAGGCCTCTACTCATGGTCTACCTTCCTCTGCAGGTGTCCTGAGGGTTTAATTACATCGAGTGTGGGCACTGCCTAACCGACACCTAAGCTCCTTATTATTATACTAGAGGCCTGGTGCACAAAATTCGTGCAAGAGTAGGCCTTCCTCCCCCCGGCTGCTGGCACTGGCTTCCCTCTGGCACCCGGGACCCGGGTTTCCCTTGCAGCCCCGGCTTCGTCTGGAAGGACGTCTGGTCTAATTAGCATTTATGCTTTTATTATTATAGATTTCTCCCTCAAGCACAGACTTAACAGGCGAGTCTTGGTGGCAAGGAGAAGGATGTGGTGTGTCCAGCACCCCAAGCGGGCCCCCCGCCCCCGCTGTGTCTCCAGCACCCCAAACAGCTCCTGGCCCACAGCAGTGCATAAGCACTATGACTGAGTAATATACAAAGTGTAAGACCCGGGGACGGTCAGGCTGGCCACCTGGCTCCAAAGACAGACGCTGTGTGACTTGGGCATAGAGACGTCCCTCTCTGGTCTGAAGTTTTGCACCTGTTCATTTTAACCCGCCACCCTCTGTGTCCAAAGGAGCCTGCCTGACCCGTTCTCTCCTGAGGGTAGGACCAGAGTGGGTGCCGTGGGGGTTGGCGTGAGCTCTGCTGAATTTGCCCACCTCTGGAAAGCTGCCGTCTCCTCCCTCCCTCCCTCCTTCCCTCCTTCCTTCCCTCCCTCCCTTCCACAGGACTCAGGAGGATGGAGAGCCTGGGTGTTTGTGAGCCGGCTCAGGTGTCCCGGGAGCCTTAGCACTAGAACTTAGGTTGCTGTTATGAATGACACGATTTATTTTCCTGTTGTATTTTTCCGTCTCCGCTGCAGCTTCTCCCACCTGCTAGAAGATGGAAAGTAAATCCTTTTTAAATTCTAACCAGTCGGAGCTGAAACTAGAAAACAGAATTTTACATACTTTAAGGGAGGCCGCTCCAGTTCCCTTTTCTGAATGTGCGCGGTGACCTTTAAAAAGTGGTGTGGCGTGAGCTGGCCTGCCTCTGGAGAGTCCCTTTCTAGAAGCAGGTGACTTCTGTGGGTGGGGAGCAGTCCCACAGCCCACCGTCACAGGCCTGTCATTCTTCAAGGTGCTTTGAAACAACTGTCTTGTTGGAGTCCCATCCCTGGGGGAATATTAATCCCACTTATCAGATGTGGAAACTGAGGCCCAGAGGGGTCAAATAACACCCCCGAAGGTGGATAAAGTCTAAGGAAAGAGCTGCAAGTAGACTCGAGCTCCCAGTTGTGACAGATGCAATGATGACACAGCTCAGGAGAAGGAGGGCGGGGGAGGGAGGGGTGGCTTTGCAATGCAGGAGCCAGGGCTGCACAGCAAACTGGGGGAAACACCTACTGCAGGAGGCTCAGCTGGGGGAGCCGGGGCAGGTGCCCCAGCAGGGTGTCCAGGCTCTGGTCGCTCAGCACCACGCAGGACAATCTGTGAGACAGAACATCTGAATGACGTGGGGAAGCCTTGGGGACAGCTAGGCGCGTGGCCACGCAGCCAGAGCCGGGCCCCAAACATTCCCTCTGAGCACCAGGTCCCTGGCTGATCACAGAGGCTAGAGGGAGAGGAAGGTCATATGCGATGGGAAATGCTGGGTTATGCCAGACTCGTGTTCTTTGACTTCTAAGAAGAGTGCTTTTTGCAGCATTGGCTGCAGTGCTAATAATAATAATAATAATAATAATAATAATAATAACAACAACAGCAGCAGCAGCAACAACAATAATAATAAATCAAACCAAAACAAAAAATTCTGGGAGCAGCCTGCATGTCTATCTAGATTCTGGCATTGGTGTGTGTGTGTGTGTGTGTGCGCGTCTGAATAATTTGTGGCACAAGTGAACTGTGGAGGGTTAGTATCAAAAGGCACGACTATGCAAACACCATGTGCAAAACACAAGCCATCAGGGACAATGAGACACTGATGGGATATTTGATGATTTTAATAGGTCATAAAATAATGGTGCTATTTTAGGGTCCTATGACGTTGACTACATTTAGTTGAAAATCCTAGCTCTAGAACTCTCTCCCTCTGGCTCTCCCTCTCCCTCTTCCTCTAAGAGACCATCCCCTCGGATAATCAGCCACCCCCGAGGCAGCAGAAACCAGGCTGGGTCATGGTCCGGCTAAAATCACATCTTGACCTGCTAAGTTTCGGCTCCTGAGCCCTAAGGTGGAACAGACCCCCGGCTACTTTCCCATGAGACCGGACAGAGGGGCCCTGGGAAACACCTCACAGCTGTGCTCAACACCCAGAGAAATGACTCATTACCTCATCTCCGCCCGCCAGTCAGCTCCCAGCACAGCCCCAACCCTAACGCCCCTGTCCTGTCATTTTGTCCCACAGGGTCTGTAACCCACACACCACGGGGCAGTTCTGCATCTGAGCACTAGCCTCCGTTCTCCTGGAGGGGCACTCGGAATAAAATACCCCATCTCTCTCCCCTGCGGTCCTCGGGGTCAGTATTTGGCTCTGCTAGCACCGGATGGACAAACCCTTTCTGTTCTGTAACAATAGGTTTTGTAAAAGAAAAAAATAGAGAGCAGGTCCGGTGTGGCTCAATGGTTGAGCGTCAACCTATGAACCAGGAGGTCACCATTCAATTCCCGGGCAGGGCACAGGCCCAGGTTGCGGGCTCCATCCCCAGTGTGGGGTGTGCAGGAAGCAGCTGGCCCATGACTCTCATTATTACTGTTTCTAGCTCTCTGTCCCTCTCCCTTCTTCTCTGAAATCAATAAAAATATATTTTTTTAAAATGAGGTGTTTGGGGGTGCATGCGTGTGCCCCTGTGTGCACTGGGCCACGGAGTGACGACTTCCGGAGGTAGGTAGAGGGGAACTAGGCTCCACTACACGACTCTCTCTGATGTACATGTGCTTGGTAGTCTCCATAACGAAAGTGTTTTCGTTACTGAGGCTTCTAGCAATGGGCCAGGGAACTCTCATGAGGTTGGGCCAGGGGTGGGCAAACTTTTTGACTCGAGGGCCACAATGGGTTCTTAAACTGGACCGGAGGGCTGGAACAAAAGCATGGATGGAGTGTTTGTGTGAACTAAAATAAATTCAAAGTAAACATCATTACATAAAAGGGGACGGTCTTTTTTTTTTTTTTTTTTAGTTTTATTCATTTCGGCCCGCGGGCCGTAGTTTGCCCATGGCTGGGTGGGGCTGTGAGAACCGGTGGGAAGGAACCAGAAAAGATTCACCCCACACCCCCAGGTCACGGGGGCTGCGTCCTCCTTACTGACCTGACTTCCAGGGGCCCCGGGCACTTCTCCAGAGCCTCGCAGAGGTGGGTGAGGCTCAGGGCCTCCAGGCGACACTCCCTGAGGCTGAAAAGGAGCAGCAGGCAGGGCAGGGGGTCAGAGAAGGCTGTGTGGGGGGGGGCCCTATGCAGCCCCAGGGACTCTCAGCTCCTCCCCAGGCTGCGAGCTCCTCCCCCACAGGGTACGCTCTCCACCCCCAAGTCTCCCAGAGCCCCCCATCCCCACCATTCTGACCCTCTGAGTGCCCAGCTGCCCTCTCCAGCCCCTCTGTGCTCTCCACTGAGCCCTGCCTGAATCTGGCCACCACCACTCACCTGGTCCACTTACCACCCCCAGCCTCCCTGCTTGCCTCCCATCCATCCTTCTTCCCCCTGCCAGCGTCCTATGCTTAAGCAATGCAAACCCGACCAGCCAACGCCCCCCCCCCAAACCCCCATGCTGAAACCCTCTGTGGCTCCCCATTACCCTTAGGCTAAAAGCAAAGAGCCTTCCCCTCCTCTCCCACAACCCCGCTCATTCGCTTCCATGCTTCCTGTCTATGCTGTGGCCACACTGAAATGCTGCCCACGAGCCCAGCTTTCCCTCCTCGGGGCCTCTGTGCAAGCTGGCTGGCCACCTGAACACCCTCCCCCTCCTCAGGACAACCCTGTTCAGCCCCACCTCGGGGTGTCTCTTCTTTTTTTTTTCTTTTTTTAAATATATTTTATTGATTTTTTACAGAGAGGAAGGGAGAGGGATAGAGAGTTAGAAACATCGATGAGAGAGAAACATCGATCAGCTGCCTCCTGCACATCTCCTACTGGGGATGTGCCCGCAACCAAGGTACATGCCCTTGACCGGAATCGAACCTGGGACCCTTCAGTCCGCAGGCTGACACTCTATCCACTGAGCCAAACCGGTTTCGGCAGGGTGTCTCTTCTTATGTGAGAAAATGAGACCAGGCCTGGCCGGCATGGCTCAGTGGTTGCACATCAACCTAAGAACTAAGCGGTCACGGTTTGATTCCTGGTCAGGGTACATGCCGGGGTTGCCGGCTCAATCCCCAGCAGGGAGCAGGCAGGAGGCAGCCAGTCCATGATTCTCTCTCATCATTGATGTTCCTCTCTATCCCCTCTCCCTTCCTCTCTGAAATCAATAAAAATATATTTAAAAACAAAGAAAAGAAATTGAGGCCAGGAGAGGGAGGGGCCCGCCAGGTCCCATAGCCCCTCGTCGGGGAGCTGGAAGCCTTCAGAGAAATCAGGGCAGGGCCCACAGCCCTCACACTCACCCTCTCTCTCCCCTTCTCTCTAATTCCCTTTCTCCTCTCTCCCAATCCCCAGCCTGATCCCCCAGGCTCTCCTCACTCCTTGAGCCCTCTCCCCACTGTGGTTACCCCCAAACAAGACGTGGGTAAGAAGGTACCAGAAGCTCCTGGGGACGCAGCGCTGACCGAACCCCGAGGACTGGGCTTGGGCGGGGGACTCTGGTGGAGGGCTGCGGGCCGGCAGACACCTTGGGCGGGGAAACGTTTGGAGAGGAAAGTTTAAATCATCCACGTTAGAAGCTCAGACTCATCAGTCAGGGCAGGGAGGGGCCCTTAAGACAATCAACCCCCTCACTGTACAGATGGGGAAACTGAGGCCCACCTGTCCACGGGGGCGGCCCCTGACAGGTTAGGGGGAGCCAGGACAGAGCCTCTCCTCACTCTGAACACAGATGTGGCTGTCACATGACTCGTCTCCCTGTGCCTCCACACTGTGGGCCTCAAAAACCCAGAGGATCCCCAGAAATAGAAGCCCTAGACCGAGGCCAGCCCTGGTTTCAGAAGCCACCTGGGGAAGGGACGCAGCAGCCCAGACACCCGCATCAGGTGGCTCTGGTGCTTGCCAACCTGCCGAGCGAAACTGAGGTGCCCACCAGGGGGCAGCCGGGCAGCCGGGAGCACCTGCGAGAAGTCACTATTGTCCTTTGTTTACAGCAAAGACGTGGAAACTTTCAGAGCGCGCCAACGGCTCTTGGCTTCTCAGATGCGCTCCTAGCTCCTCAGGGTGTGAAAGGGCAGTGACTCATAAGAGACTGCGAGTCTGCAGAGGCTGCAAAAGTCCCCCGGACGCTTCCTTCTCCCCTCCCCCACAGCGGCAGCTGCCAGCCCGGCTCCACTCTGGTGCCTGCCACCCAGTGTCCCCTCCCTCCCTCTGCGCTGGCTTCTTCCAAGAGAGGGTGAAGGCAGCGGATTCCTGCAAATTCATGTGGAGGGGGGTTTACTTTGGAGCTGACAGTGGTCCGCATGGGTCTGGGGTGGGAGGCTCCTCCAGGAAATGGGGGCCAGAGGGAAAGGGGAGCCCGCCTCACCCTGGGAGCTTTCCGCCCTCACCTGGCTCTTCTGCCGCCTCTCAGGACCACGTGCTGGCTCTCGAAGCTGCAGGCAGAAAGGAGGCAGCAATCAGAGACCGGGCGAAGGGCCCACTGACCAGGTCAAGGGCACGAGAGCAGACTGACCAGGTCAAGGGGAGGCTGGAGGGCAGCCTGCATTCTTTCTCAGCAAATACCACAGTAACTATATGACAACCGCTGCATGCATTAAGGCACATACAAAGCACACCTGCCACATGATCTCCGTTGAGTCTCATGCGAAAACTGTGAGGTAAAGAAGTATTCTTACCCCATTTTACAGATGAGGAAACTGAGGCGTGGGGAGGCTCAGTGACCTCCTGGAAGCTGTACCGCAGGGAACTGGTGAGCCTGGATTTGAACCTGGTCTGTCTGCTCTCACACTGCCCACTCTTGGGAGGGGGAGGGGAGGGTTGGGTTGGGCAGGCCTTTCAAGGAAGCATGCATGATCTACATTGCATGTCCCAGAGCTGTGTGGCTGGGTGCATTTTCCCTTCTATAGTTTCATCAGCTCCAGAGACCCCACAATTAAAGCGAGTCCCTGAGCACTCAGTGGTCACAAGGGTGTTTCCCAGTTTTCTTAAAAGTCTCCCAGAACAGCCTGGCCCACGTGGCTTAATGGTTGAGCACTGACTGATAAACTAGGAGGTTCAATTCCCAGTCAGGGCACATGCCTGAGTTGCGGGCTCCATCCCCAGTGGGTGGTGTGCAGGAGGCAGCGGGTCAGTGATTCTCTCTCATCATTGATGTTTCTATCTCTCTCTCTCCCTTCCTCTCTGAATTCAAGAAAAATATATACAAAAAAGTCTCCCAGAATAACCCAGAGAGTGAGGGAGTCCATGGATTGTGTCCCATGGAGAAATTTGAGTGTCCTGGGCTATATTCATTCATTCATTCATTCATTCACTCACTCACTCATTCATTCCTTCAGCAGGCACCCATCCCACACACACTGACCCGGGACCCCGCGGGCCCTGAGGATGCCTGTGGTGAACGCAGATGCGGGGGCCGGGCGGGGCCCTGAGACTCACTCACCTGATGTCCAGCTGGAGGACCCACGGCACCGCAGAGAAACACTGGGCCAAACTGAACACAGCGTCCAGAGACAAGCGGTTCTCACTGAGGCTGGGGAATCACAGGCGTGGTGTCGGCAGGGGTCCCAGTCTTGTTTCAAGTGACAAGACTGAAAGCACCCTCTGTGTGGTCAGAGCACAGGGCAGGGGAGGGCGGTCCCCGCGTCCGGACGACGAAACTCGCTAGGAGCTCTCATAGGTGAGCGCGCCTCTTCCAGTCCCCCACTCGGATGGGGAAACCGAGGCCCATAAAGCAGCCAGGTCTCGCCCGAAGTTACAAGACACACGGGTGACAGAGCTGCGATTAGACCCCGTGGCTCCCTCTGGCTGCGATGAACGTGGGGAGTGCTTTTAGGCGCCCGATAAAGGGGGGTGGTGCCTGGTGACCAATGTCTGTCCACCTGTCGTGGTGGCTTCTTTTGCCATTTAACGACGCCCGCCTCGGGATGGGGGCCCTGGTGGGTGCCTACAGGCTCTCGCAGGCCCTGGGTCAGACTCGGCATCCATCCAGTGTGGAGATCACATGGGGATTTGTCCCGAAAGCTCCCATCACACAGCATTTGCCTGCAGTGGGGAGGCCCTCCTCCTCGCCCAGGTGCAGGCCCCTCCTCTCCTTCCCAGCATCCCAGGGAGCCTGTCGGAGCAGGAAGGGCCTCAGGCCACAGACTCCTTCTAAGGTTGGAGCCAAAGCACAGCCCCTTTACTGTTTATGTGTTAATGATGGGAACCAGGGCTCAGGAGGTGATGGAACCTGCTCAAGGTCACACCGGGACCTGGGACCTGGGACCTGGGACCAGGGCTCCTCTAGCTTTGTCCCAGAGGAGCTTGGGAGGAGGGGATGTGGGGCCAAGAACACAGGAGGCTTTCAGGACCCGGGAAGTCTGGTCGCTGCAGGCAAAGGCTGGGGTTCCTGGCCTCCTACCAGACCTCCCCTCTGAGAATCTCCCGTCTCTGCCAGGTCCTCCAGATGCCCCGGGCACCCTGCTTGGGTGTCCTGTGGGATCCGAATCCTCTCTGCCTACCAGCTTGCACCCAGCCAACAGCCCCGCCCTGCACCCATGGTCAGAATGGCTGCCAGCCTCTACATCAATCAGTCATACTTCCCACCTGCCTTGCCCGGGACGACTGGGCCTCCCAGGAACAGATTCAGGAAGTGAAACCTTAAATCAGAAGCTGGACCATTGAGTCACAGATGCCAGACTCGATATGAATGAGAATCACGCCCTTTCCTGAGCACTCACCACGTGCCAGGGACTGGCCAGGCAACAGACATGCCTTTTCTTATTTAATCTTTCTGAGAAGCCACGGAGGGAGAGAGATGGGACATAAGAAGAGCCCCCCTCACTGCCCGCCCCCCCCGCCCCGCCCCCCGCCACATCCCCTCATTGCCATGAGGACAGCCAGCTACTCACTTCAAGGACTGCAGAGCGCCCAGCGCTGGGAGCCACTGAGCCAGCTGGGCCGCACCTTCGTCCCCCAGAGCATTCTTTGATAAGCTGGGAGGGGCGGGGAGAACAGGTTGGTGGAGGGAGGGGTGGGCAGGAGTTTTGTCTCTCCATCCCATCGCCTCACTCACTCCGCTTCTCCTGAAACTGGACACGGTGTGGTGGGGCCAGACTTTAGCAGGTGGCGCTAGGTCAGCTGGGGTCTCCCCCAGGTTCTTATCCTGGGGTTTGTGACTCCGAGGGGGTCAGGGATGGGCTTCAGGGGGAGTCAAGTGTGGGGGAACCTATATTCTAGGGGGAAGAGGCACACCTTTCACCAGATTCTCTATTGCAGCAGGAGGTCCAAATCTTAAAAAGCAAAACAAAACCCAGCTCTCACTCACTGCTTAGCCCCACCCACCCGCCTTCCGACAGACAGCGCCACTCACTCGAGGTGGCCCAGGCGACAGCTTCCTTCCAAGGCCTTGCAGAGCTGCTCCAGGTGCTCAGCTTGCAAGCCGCAGTGTGTCAGCCTGCGGAGGCAGAACCACAGCCCTGCAGCCCCGCCACAGAGGCCAGAGCGGGCCTGGCCCCAAGCACACAGGCTTGCAGGAGGGACTGGGGCAGACGCATCTGGCACCCAGACAGACAGACAAAGAGGGACCAACACATAACACACAGACATCACACACAGGCAGAGGAAAACCGGAGTCAGAGGCACAGCGAGAGGGACACCAAGATGGACAAAGAGAGGAGGAGAGAGAGAGAGAGAGAGAGAGAGAGAGAGAGAGAGCAGATGCACATGCACACACACACACACACACACACACACACACACGTGCATGTGTGCATGGTGCCGGAGGAGGACAAACAGACAATGAGAAAAGGTCCACAGAAAACCAGACAGACATGATCTGAGAGAGACAGACAGAGGGAGGGAGAGGCAGATGGACAGAGAAGAGAGAGGCCAGAGGAGAACTGATGAGCGTCCTGGGGGGCTGAGCTGAGCTTCAGGGCCGGAAAAGAAGGGGCTGCAAGCCCCCCATGCTCTCTGCCCAGAGTTCCCACACCCCCTCAGCTGCTGGAAGTTGGGGGCACTTAAGGGGGGGCTGGTGGGGAAGGTGACTGTGGAGGGCTGGGCAGGAGAGTGGGAGGCAGGGAAGCCAGGCCCCAACTCCTGGCTAGAGCAGATCCTGTCATCCAGGGAGCAGCTGGGGCTGGGGGCCAGGGGCGGGCTTCCTGCAGAGGGAGGGAGGGAGCCGGAGCCACACCCAGGCCCTGCAGGTTGTCACTGTACCTGATCCTCGGGGAGCTCGGGGGCAGCTCAGAGGACACGCGGAGCGTAAGGCTGTCAAGAAACGCAGCTCTGGAGAGACACACACCAGGCCAGGCTGAGCAAACGCGCTTCCCACCATGCAGTCTCCACCCAGGCCTGGACACCGCCAGACCTTGGTTCCTCCAGGCTCCTCTGTGTCCTGGCTGTGTCACCTGGGACAATCACTTAGGCTCTTACTGGAGAATGTACGTGAGTTGCCTTAGTTTGGTGCTTGGTGCTCCATTAACCTTGGCCGTTAGCATCATTAATATCCTCCCCCTCATCATCATCGCCTTCAGAGATGCCAGCCTCAGCTTCAGGCAAGCCTCCGAAAGCTCAGACCCTACAGAAGACCTTGCAGGTGGACACTGAGGAGCACAGAGCTGAGTCTCTGCCTATGTGCTGGGCTGGGGGCAATCCAGGAAGGCACCCTGGAGGAGGCAAACACTCTCTAAGGGTCCTTGTGCCAAAGGAAGCCAGAAGTTCTGGCCAAAATCAGACGCGTAGGCCAGGCAATCCTTGGGTTCAGGCCGAAGGGCCTGGGTCTCTCTGGCTACCCTGCGCCTGCCCCAGCGAGGTGCCATCTCCATCTTGAATCACAGGGCTCTCTTCAGGCGCCACTAGGGGATGGCACAGCATCTCTCCCTTGACCCTCCCCTTAGGGCTGCATCCCCCTCTATGCCCGCTGGATCTTGCTGAGCCTATGTGAAGCAGTTGAGTGGCACTGACCAGCTGTGGGAGCCTGGGAGGGGGTGGCCCTGGCCCAGGGTGAGGTCGGGATGGTGTTGGGGCCCTACCTCTCCTGGGTCCTCTCCTGCTCCTCCAGTTCTGGGGCAAACGTGAGAACCACAGTTTTGTGCATGAGGCTGCGGAGAGAAGAGAGGGAGGAGGCAAGAGGCTTATGGAGTTCCTGCTGCGACGGATCATTTTGTTTTTGTTTTTTTGTTAATCCTCAGCTGAGAATATTTTTCCATTGATTTTTAGAGTGGAAGGGAGGGTGAGAGACAGAGAGAGAGAGAGAAACATTGATGTGAGAGAGGTTGCCTCCTGTACGCACCCCGACTGGGGCCAGGGGATCCAGCCTGCAACGGGGTACATGCCCTTGACCAGAATCAAACCCTTCCGTCTGCAGGCTGATGCTCTCTCCACGGAGCTAACTGGCCAGGGCCCGGGTCATTTTTTAGCCTGACCTGGAGAAACCTCCTGGTTGCCATCCCCCAGCCTCTAGCTGTGGTCACTTCCTCTGACCTCCCCTGACCCTCTGAGCTTCCCGGGTCCTGAAGTCTTTCTTTCACAGATTTCAAACTATCATCAGCCCTCGTTTCCGGGTACGCCCTTGAAAGAAAGCCTCAGTGCTGTGGTCTCTGTGGTTTGGGCCTCGGGCTGAAACCCTCCCTCTGTCCACCGGTGGCACCTGGGCTGAGGTTGCTTGCCCAGCAGAAGGAGGTCACTGCCAGGTCAGGGCAGACATTGAGAATCCACAGGAGGCTGTGACTTACAGTCCGGCATCCCTAACCTCGTCTTGCAAACCGAATGTATATATTTTTTTATGTATATATTTTTTTCTCATTATAAAAGTCCCACTTCATCCCTATGTAGAACTTAGAAAATATAATAAAGTAAAAAGAAAATCACTCCCCGTCTCTCCCACGTATCAATGACCACTGACTACATTTGGGAGAGGGTCCTTCAAAATATTTTGCTTTTTAATGCAGTGAATGTTCTTTTCGTTTTTCTTTTTCTTAAAAATGGGATTAAAATGACAAATTTTCTTCTAAAAATCAGGTTTTCAAGGGACAGATGCTGCAAGAGTGACACAGTGCGGGTAATTATTGGTGGGAACTGGTGTTCGTTATACCACGCTCCCTACCTTGGAGTATGTTTGAAAAGCTTTGTTAGAAAAATGCCGCATTAACATGCTTATGTGTGCTGTCTGCACCACTCCATACTAACCCTGCAGCCATATCGTGGTTTTGTTAGGTCCCTCCCTCTGGAGGCAACTGGGACCCGGAATGATGGGAGGAGCCAGAGCTCTGGGCTGGAGGAGGGCATGGTGACAGGCGTCCACGGCTCACCTGATGTGCAGGTCTGCCAGGTTCCGGCACGTGCTCACTGCCCTCAGCACCCAGGGCACCCCCGCCACCGAGAGCCCGTTGTCACTGAGGCTGTGGAGAGGAGGGGGTGGCAGCCATCAGCAGGTGGCTGAAGTCCCCAGTCCCCTCCTCCTGGCTCAGCCGCTGCCTGCCTGGCCCTCTTGGGGTGTCCTGGGTCCTTGGCCAGGGGCTCTCAAAGGATTCCAGCTCAGGTGGATGAGCCGAGAGACGCAGGACCCCACCCCACTCAGAGAATCAAGTTCTCCAGCTGACTGACCAGAACCGACCCACGGCTTTCGCCCCTCGGAGCCTCAGTGGAGATGCTCATAGCTCATAGCACCATTCTAAGCGCATTTAACAAGTGGGGAAACGGAGGCTGGGAGACATGAAAGTACTTTCCCAGGGTCACAAAGCTACCAAATGACAGAGCCAGGATTTCAATACAAAGCCAAGGTTCCACATCAGTTACCCAACCTCAACACCCCCACCCCAGCCCACATGCTAAGACCCAACACAAGCCACCCAGGCAGCACCCCCACTTTACCGTGCCCCACAGCTCAATACCCTTTCTTTCCATCCCACCACCCCCACAACCCACCCCTCACCCAACACTGTACCTCCAGCCTCACACACCACTTCCCACCCCACCATCCCACCCCAACACCCCAGCACCCACCCATCCCATCCCCCAACGTTGGCTCAATGCAACACTCCACCCCACCTCATCCCACTCCACCAGGGCCTGTTGTAAGGACAAACTAGAACATAAGCCACTGAGGTACAAGGGACCCATTCTACCAGGGGTTTTCATAATTGGCTCATGTCAGAGGCAAAAGCAGGGCATGGTTGAGCCACTCGGACTTTGCAGGAGTTTGAAGAAGGCGGGGGTGAGGGGCGGTGACGATAGGCATGGGGACCCGCTGGGACTCTCGGGGCTCTGTTACCCAACAGTGGGGTGGGCCACTCACTCCAGCTTCCCGGCGATGCGCAGCTGGGGGGCAGCCTCTGCCACCAGTCGACAGCCTTCGTCCTCCAGCTGGTTCCCTGAGAGGCTGAGACAGAGGGGCCCTCTGCATGTGCTGCTGGGGGGTCCCTCCCCAGCCCTCCACATGCACACCCCCCCTCATTGACTTCCAGCAAAGCATCATTCAGGTAAGTGATCCTTCATAATAATGAGTGTAAAAGACTGTGTACGACCTGCCAGGCACTGTCCTAGGGGCCTTTGCAATGATGGCATTTTTACTCCCCCTAACAACCCTAGGACGCGGGCGCTACTGTTACCCTCATCTTACTGATGAGTACGCTGAGGTCAGACTGGTTAGGGCAGTTGCTCAAAGGCGGACCTGTGGTTTGAACCCAGGCAGCCTGACTTCACGGCCCTGCCCTCAACCACTAATTTATGCCACAACCTACACAAGTACTTCTGGTGACCAGCTTCATGATGACGGGGGCATATGACCTGCTCTGGGGTCAGGGAAGGCTTCCCTGATGTTGGAGCTGCAGGCTAGCGAAACTAGTTCAATCAGCAAGGGGCAGAGAGAGATGGGGCCGGAGGAGCAGTACACCAAGGGTACATTTGAGGACCGGAAAGGGAGCCTGCGTGTCTGGAGGGAAGACCGAGCAGAGGGCGGGGTCAGATGGGGTTTGGGGGTTGGGAGCAGGGTTCCGGATCACACGGGGTTTTAGGATTCGGGCTTCATCCTGAGCAGCAGGAAGGAGTGAAGGGGACAGGCAGGAGTGACACACAGGTCACACCCTGCCAGGTGGAGGTGGCCAGGTGGAAGCAGTAGCTGTTATATAATAGCTTCCCCCAGATCCTTAAGGAGGCATCTTCCCCGCACTGTTCACCCCAAACGGAGGCCCTTCCTACCCTGCCCTGCCATGCCCTCCCGTCTTCTGCCCCGGAGCGCCCCATGATACTCACTCTACTTCCTCCAGGAGGGGGACTTCCCGGAGCTGGGCTATGAGCATCTCCACATCCCTGATGGTTAGGCAACACTTCTGCAGCCTGGGGTGACGCAGGGGGGAGAGGGGCTCAGGGCAAGAAGCTGCACGATGCCTCCTCCAGCTCCTGGCCCCGCCACGAGGCATGGGACCTGGGGGAGCCAGGAGGCTGACAGACCTGGTGTTGAATCCTGGCCCTGCTTCTCAGTTGCTGGGTAATCTCGGACAAGGCACTTAAGCTATTTGAGACTCAATGTTCCCCTCTGTCAAATGGGAACAATAATGTGGACTTTGCAGAATTTGCAAAAGCATAACAACGAGGTGATGGATATAAAATACCACCGTGCCCAGCACACAGCGAGGGCCCATTAAATGACAGTTACTGTTGCCGTTGTTGTGCCAGATGCTCCTTGTTCAGGCCAGGACGGGTTATTCATGTCCTTTCCCTGCCCCAGGTCTGCTTTCCCCTTTCCCCTCCCCACCTCCCTGCTGCACCTCCCCTGGGAAGACACCCTCCACCCATATCACATCCCTCCTCCAAGACCATGGATCCCATCGAGGTACCTGAGGGCCAAGCTTCTGCTCTGAGCCTCTTTCTGGCCGGCGTTTCCCCGTAGGGCTGGGGATCTGGCAAGAACAAGTCCAACATTGGCCTGGGCTGGGGAGCTCAGGCTCTGCTCTTGGCTTCTAGGGGCTGAAGACTCCTTAGCACGACCCACAGTGAATGAGCAACAAAGCCGGCTGCTTGGAGGTGCTCACGGCACTAGGCAGCGAAGCAGCAGGAGCAGGCGGTTTGGAGTGAAATGGAACCTTTATTCAAATGCTGACTCTGCCATAGAGAGCTGTGCGGCCCTGGGCAAGTCACTTCACCCATCAGAGCCTCCATTTTCTCTTTTCTGACATGAAATGACAATTCCTGGCATATAGAGTGACCGAAGGACTGAATGGGGTGACCACAGGCACAAAAGTGAAGCTCAGCAAAAAGCAGCCGCTGTTGTGTAAGGGGCCATGGTCTCCACGTGTAGATGTACCATCCGCGGTTCAGAAGGCCAGGAACACGGGCCATACGTGAGTCAGGCTGTGGAAAGCCATGGCACCTCCAGGCTCCCTCCCCCTGGGCCAGGGGAGGGCTGGGGCGGGAGAGAAGCTGGGAGAGTGTGAGCCACGTTTACACTGACTTGGAGATCAGTGCCATCCACAGAACTGCCTGGGGTGATGGAAAGGTTTTGTACTGGGCCCCTCATGGTGGGAGCCACTGGCCTCCTGAAACGTGGCTGATGTGAGTGATGACATGAAATGCCCATTTTACTTTATTTTAACTCATATAAGTTTAAATAGTCACATGTGGCTAGTGGCTACCGTACTGGGTACCACCTCTCTGGACAGTCGGGGTGGGGTGGGGGAGAGAAGGACAGTGGTCCTACTGAGTCACTGTATGGGTGAGGGGACGTGAGGCTCAGAGCCGGGGAAGGACTTGCTCAGGGACACACAGCGTCATCTGTTTCGGAGTTTCAGCTGGGAGTGGTGTGGGGAAGCACCGTCCGAATGTTCTTTCACGGAAAGGCAACTTCCCTTCCGTTGGCCACCCAGGGCTGGCCAAGCTGGAACCCATGCACAGCTGAAGAGCCAGCACTTGAGTGCCAGCTGGCTGCCAGCAGGGTTCTAAGCATTAATGTATTAATTTGTTTAATGCTCAGGACAACTGTAAGATGTAGGCACCATAATTGCCTTCCCCTCTCTCTCTCTCTTTTTTTTTTTTTTTTTTGCAGTTTGGAGACTTTCCCCCACCTCCACCCCAAGGGGCTGGCTCACTCTGGGAGCGGAAGTCCTTTGCCAACTCTGAGCAGTCAGTCACTTCTCAGGGCAGCAGCAGCAGCAAGGAGGCTCCCCACACCCCAGCTCTCCCTCAACTCCCTTGGCCACCTTTCCCCACAACTGCCTGGGCCCAGACCAGCTCCCTCCCTAACTTCTTACCCAGGTAGCTCCGCAGCTGTCTCTGTGGGCGGGGAGAGAAGGATGATGAGGTCCGCCTCCCTGCAGGGCCAGACACCAAGCCATGAAACCCGTGGGCTGGAAACCAGCACCTCACCCGCTCCCTGCGCACCCCGTGCAGTCCCAAACCGCCAGAGGAAGCGGACTTTGTGATTGACAATCACAAAACCGGCTAAGGTGCCCCAAATCAGACATGTACAAGGGTGACGATGCCCTTGCTTGATGAACCCAGTGCTTCAAAAAGCCAGGAAAACAACTTTTACGAGAGAGATAATAGAAATCAGGAACGCACTGATTTTATAGGAGTTCCTGTGTTTTGGGATTAAGAGGCATAACACTGAACCTGCCCGTGATCCAACAGGCAGCGCTGGTTCAGCACCACGGAGAGCGATACGCGGCGCCTCATTCCGCGCTATGCCTACACTTCCTAGATTTTTTTTTCCCCTTTCGTCATTCCTTCATCCCTCTGTTGGTCCGTCCATCCATCTTCCCATTCATTCACTTGTTGAGTACCAGGTACCAGGCCCGAGCTAGGCTCTGGACACACCGATGTGAGTAAAACAGACTCAAGCATGGACGTCTTGCACACTAGGGCTTCCTCTTTTTCCTAGCCCCTCCTCTTTTCTCAAGACGCCTTCTGCTCACCTGACTTGCAGCATCCTGATAGTCCGGCACGTGACTGCCACCTCGGTCAAGCCCAGCAGGGTCGCCATGGAGACATTGTTGTGGCTCAGGCTGCATGATTGAGGCAAAGGTGTCAGGAGTGAGTCCCCCATCCCATGGGCCCCAGACCTTTGCTCTCTAAGGTCGGAGGGCGACTCAGGCAGGTGGAAAGGCCGCTTACTCAAGCTTCCGGAGCGTCGGCAGGCAAGGGAGGACCTTCACGATGCTCAGCAACTCCTGGTTCTTGAGCTGGTTGTCCTGAAAGCTACAAGGGAGATCAAGTCCCTCAGCCCTGGGGTGGGGACCCTTAGAAGCTCCAGTTGGCAAGGGACGGTCATGGCCACCCTCATGAGGGAGACACAACACAGGGTCCCAGAAGGAGTTGGTGACCTGCTCCATGGGATTCAATAGGTCCAGCTAGGAGGCAAGGCCCTCTGCCGGCCTCGATACAGTCCTCATTCAGTCCCTCTGGTGGCCCAAGGGACCCAGCGGGTGGACTATGAAGGCTTCGTGAGGTGGGATGAGGAGACCCAGCACCCTGCTCTCAGGAAAATGTCTGGGATGTGCCTGAGGCTCAAGTTCATCAGGGCCTCTTGCCTCCCAGGTGATGAGTGGTCTAGGCTGGGCTGCAGGAAATGCCGCTTCCAGCCTCAGCTCTAGCCCTGACTCACCAGAGCCCTAGGCCAAGCACCTTCCTCTCTGACCTCACATGCCTCACCCATCAAATGGGACCCACAGCCCAGTCCTGCCCGGGTTCCTGGCATCCACAGCCCAGTCCTGCCCGGGTTCCTGCCTGGACTCCTGCCCAGGTTCCTGGCATCCACAGCCCAGCCCTGCCCGGGTTCCAGGCTGGAGGGACAGAACTGAAGAGTCCGCGGTGCCTTTGTGTGTGACCGCTCTGGTCAGGAAACATGTTTGGAAATGCTGAACTTGTTGACATTTACTTCTCTAATTATTGAGGGTGACCTTGATCTTTTCTTCCATCGGGCACGGTGAGCATGCATGGAGACACCCAGCAGGGGGGACAGAGCAGAGCTGTGGCCCAGCTAATGCTCCATTACGCAAGAGGCGCACCCTAGTGCTAGGCTGCACCTAGGGATGAAGGGGTGCCTTTTCTAAAGCTCACAAAGGTGCCAGCTGGCACTGGGTCCGCCCGTGAGCTGCTGAGGAGGCGCCCTGGCCCCACCCTTCTCCAGCCACTCATCACGGACACAGGTAGGAGTATGTATGTGGATCTAAGTGTGCACGTGTGTGTGCGCTGCATATATGCACACCTTCGAGTGTGCATGTATGTGGGGCATGTACTTAAGAGAGCAGACAAGTGCACGTGTGTGTATGCTTCATGCATTTGTGCATGAATGTGAAGGTGTGCGTATGATTCGTGCATTTATGTGAGCCCACAGTGCCTAACACCAGCCTACTTACTGCCATCCCCCGCTCAGGGTCACAGAAAGAGGGAAGGGGGCCTCAAAACTCAACCTCCTTCAAAACGGCCCAAAATATTGGATGAGAGAAGCCCTTGTCTGGGGTCGTTAGGAGCCTTGAGCTTGGATCCAGCCCCACCCAGCTCTTAAATTGATGCCTCCCCTCTCTGAGCCACACTGAAAAACTACCAGTCAGGGCCCACTGAACATGCAAGCCCTGGGCGGTGACCTCTTCCCTCGGCCGGTGAACCCTCCTGGAGAGCACTCACCTGACCTCTTCCAGGTGTGGACAGAGGGGCAAAGCCTGCACCAGGTGGTAGATGCCTCGGGCAGTGATCTTACTTCCGGCTAACCTACAGGGTAAGCAAAGATGGATGGGAGAAGCGGGGATGGAAGGGAGGTAGGCCCGATCTGCCCTGCGTAGGGTTGAGGGAAGGGAGGAGAGTTCTGGCATCCCCAGCGGAGGACCCCTCTCCATTCCAAGTCCTGGCTCACCCCAGCTTCTTCAGGCTCCCCATTGTCGGCAAGCTCCTGGAGAGGGCTTCTGCAAAGGCGTCCCCACACTTCCTGCTCTTAAAGCTGCCACAGGGGGAGGCAAGGTGGCAGATAATCAATGCTGGGCGGGGCTTAGAGGTCACGCCCACCCCTCCTCCGACAGAAGGAACCGAATGAATACAGTAACGTTAATAGTTGTTGCCCTAGCCAGTTTGGCTCAGTGGGTAGAGCATCGGCCTGTGGACCGAAGGGTCCCAGGTTCGATTCTGGTCAAGGGCACATACCTAGGTTGTAGGCTCCTCCCTGGCCTAGGCCCTGGTCAGGGCTCATGCAGGAGGCAACCGATCAATGTGTTTCTCTCACATTGATGTTTCTCTCTGTCTTTCCCTCTCTCTTCTCCTCTCCCTAAAAACCAATGGAAAAATATCCTCAGGTGAGGATTAGCAGGGGGAAAATGTAGTAACTGTTATTGCTGTTGTTGTAATGGTTATAGTAGTAACAAATACATATCATGGCAGAGACTGCTAACTGTCCACGGAAACCCATCCCCCGTGCATGGAGCTATACCCGGGAAGATGGTTTCTCAGCCAGAGGCGGCATTTCCCAGCCTCCCTTGCAGCTCAGTGTGGCCATATGACTACTAGTATGTTCTCACCACTGGGATGTGACTGGAGAGATGTGCCCTATTTCCAGGAATGAGCTTTACCGCACGGAGTGTGTCTAATCCATGACCTCTCTTCCCCTTCCCGCAAGCCAGAGCACAGCTAGGCCCCTGTCTCAGCTTTGACCCTGCAGATCCACATGCCCAAGGAGACGATGAGCAAGAATGGGAGGAACCAGGTCCCTGTGCGACCATGTGGAGCTGAGCAATCCCACGGACCCGGACTCTGAGTCTTCCCGGAGAGAGAAAGAAAATGCTACGGTATTGAATCCACTCTATTTTGGGGAGGGTGGGGTGAGGGGTTCTTTGTTCCTGCAGCTGAGCCCTTTCTCTAGCTGCTACACATACTGAGCCTTTACTGTGGGCCAGGAGCTGTGCTAAGTGTTTTTCATGCCTTATCTCACCTCACAACAACCCTATGAGGTCGGTTTTATTACTGATTCACTTGAGGGATGAGGAAACGCAGGCTGAGAGGTTAAATAACACTGAAGTCAAAGAGCCTGGAGCAGCACAGCCCGGATCAGCGGCTCCAGCCCATGGCTGAGAGAGGCAGACTGACAATCCAGATCCCACGACAAGAGGAGACCCAATGGACCCCAGACGTCCTGGTGAAGCACGGTGCCCCTGACTGCGTCACAGGCTAAGGGACAGGAAGGGCCCGTCCTCCCTGGTACCCACGAGTCCTACCCAGTCTCCCGCAGCGGGTCTGCCAGGTGGGTTACCTCCACTCGCCCCAAAGTCCAGGTCCCTGCACTACCCTTCCTCACCTGAGACTCTCCACCCGCCCACAGCCTGCCAAGGCCTCAGGGCAGCGGGGCTCCAGCGGGCAGCCCTCGAAATCCAGGTGGATGGGGGCCTCCCTGTGCCCCAGGACGTTGGTCAGGGCAGCCAGGTCGGCGTAGGTCAGCGGGAAGTTGTGGAAGGGCAGCTGGCAGGGAAGGCTTTGGGCCATGAGGCTGGCCAGCTCCGGCTCCCGTGTCTCGTCCACACAGCGACACAGCTCTACCACCTTGGGCCCCGTGAGCCTGCGCGTGGCCAACTTCTTCAGTGCCTGTATGACTGTGGCCTGCTTGGCGCCCACCCACGCCTCACCCCGCTCTGCCAGGTGGCAGAGGAAGGGACAGCAGGCAGAGGATGCCAGACCCGCCAGGAAGATGGGGAGGTGGTCCCAGAGGCCCAGTCTGGCTTTGGTCCGCAGCAGCCAGCGAGAATTGAGGGTGACGTGGCGGGCGAGTGCGTCTTTGTCTACCTCGGGACTGGCCATCAGATGCAGGGCAGCCAGAAACTCCTGCAGGCTGAGGTGAGTGAAGGCATAGCCCGGCTCCTGCTGCCTGGGGCCTGTGCAGACGCAGAAGGAGGTCAGCAGGCCCAGGGCAGCCCCGAAGGCCATCATGGCAGGAGGGATGTCTCCTGCAGAGAAGATCACCTTCCCCGTCTCCAGGCCCCTCAGGGCCACCTCCCCCAGGCCCCTCAGGGACTCAGCAGCCCGGTACCCGCGGGGGCTGAGGGCGAGCACCATCTGCACGTAGTTCTGAGTCACGGTGGGCAGGAGGGCCGCAGACTGGCCTGGAGAGAGGTCCGGGAGCAGATGGCGGAGGCAGAGGCAGGCGATCCGGCACAGGGCGGGCGCCGCGCACATGCTCCGGAGGTGTCTGTTTGCCCGCAGCTCCGCCAGGGCCGCCTCCCGGGCCGGCTGGTTGCTGAAGAAGCGGCCCACGTACTCCTCCACCCGCGGCCCGTCGAAGCCCCACAGGTGGATGGTGGCCGCCTCGGTGGGCAGGCAGTCCGGCAGCTTCCCTGGCCGGGAGGTGGCCATGACCCTGCAGCCGGGCAGGAGGGTCCCCCGGCACAGGCCAGAGAAGAGGGCGAGGGCTGGGCCTGGCGCCTCGGGGCCCGCGGTCTCCCCGCTGGGATGGGGGTGGAGGGCCTCCTCCAGCCCGTCGAAGATGAGCAGGACCCCCTTGGCGTTCCTCTCCAGGTACTGGAGGACGGCGTCAGGGCCCTCCTCGGGGCGCAGGTACAGGTCGAACAGGAGCTGGGGCAGCGTCAGGGCCTCCGCCAGCAGGTTGAGCTGGCGGAACTCAAACAGGAACAGGGCCTGGAAGCGGTCCAGCTGGCCGTTGGCCCACTTCTGGCAGAGCCAGCGGGTCAGCGTGGTCTTGCCCATGCCCGCCTTTCCCAGGAGCACCATCACCCTTGGCCCTTTGTCTGCCCTGGGGCCGAAGAGGTCCTGGAGGCTCACGTCAGCACCATCCTCTGCCCTGGGGCTCCCCGGCACGGCCCCCTCCTGAGTGCTGAAGGGTGCTGTGGCCCGGCTCCATTGCAGGATTGGGGGGACGTAGGCCTGGTGGAAGGTGAGGGGCTGCCCTGGCCCCGGGAGCTCGCCGCCATAGCGCTGCTGGGCCGAGGTCCTCAGCTGCTGTAGGTACCTCTTGGCCAGTTCTGCTGGGGGCAGGGAGATGGCATGAGGCTGAGACCTCCCCTCGCCCCCAACCTCATCCCAGTATTGGCTGCTGGGATCCTACAGCCCCAGCTGTGTTATGTGGGAGGGGGGGTCGCAGGAGCACCCAGGGGCTCTTGTGCCACCCAAATCCCTAGAAGGAACTGCTTCTGCCGAAGCAGACTCTGGCAGCTGTTTAACCAGGTGCGAAGCGGGGATCATGGCTCTGTGTTTGGCAACAGCATGGGTGGCGTAGTTTTCAATAAGATGGGGAAAGGGGAGAGGGCACTTCCTTTGCAACTTCTTCTTTTTGCAACTTCTTATCAGAACAACCTCTTCCTGCAATATCTGAGAACTCTGTGCCCCTCCCCACCATTTCAGTTCTGTAATGCCCAGGGCAGGGGGGGAGGGCGGTGCTAACGACCTGTAGGTCCAGCACTGACCAATCAGAACTGTGGGAACTGGGCCCCCCACGGGGCCAGGTACTGACGTTAGAACTGCTGAGTTATTGGGAAATCTGGGGTGGAACCAGAGAAGGGACTGGGGCCACTGTTGGGGGCCAGCGAGAGCCCCGGGTGGGGGACCTGAGGTAGAAGTCTATGTTATATCCCATTGGGCCTCCCAGCTGGTGGGGAACAAGGACTCTTCTGCACACCTGGTGCAAAACAAGGGAAGTTCGGTCTCTTCTAGCCCCTTGGCCAGTCCTCAGCACCCCCATGTCTCCTCCCTGTGTGCCTCAGGGCTTCTGCTTTTGGGGAGTTCTCCCTGGTATCCTGTTTACCTCTAAACTGGCCAATGAGGGCCCAGGCCTGAGGTTACAATGGTCACTTCCCTGGGACCCCTCAGCCCTGAGGACATGGGGTGTCCCTGGAAGTAGCTAAATGATAAAGCTGCAACCTGCTGGGTTGCTTCCAGCTCCTTCAGCTGAGCCATCTCTGGAGGAGCCCCTGGGCGGCCTGTTGGGGAGGCCCCTCCTGGCCAGACGCCACCCTCCCCTCTGCCCACCCAGGACCTTCGATCTGTCTTTCGTGGAAGCTTGGACTACAAGAGCCGCGAAGCCCCTGGAGGCTCGTCGGCAGGGGACCGAGTCCAGGATCTGTGCCCTGGCCCCGGTGCCATCCAATCCCTGTGTTCAGGTTCCTCCCCGCCTTGGCACCCACCGAGCTGCTGCCTCCTGAACTGCTTCCGGCGGGGTGAGGACCCGCAGCTCTGATGAGGCCGCTTGAGGCCTGGAAAAAATGAAGGAAAGCGTAAGGGGTGAGGTTTCGGGGCCGAGGAGGTAGGTACCCAGGACTGTGGGGCGCTCCGTTCCACAAAGAGGAGGCAGGCAGACAAGTGGATCACACTCAGGGTTTGAGTGAAGGCAGCTCAGGGATGAGGGCCAGGAGGGACCAGGGACCGGGACAAACAGTCTGGCTTTGTGGGGGAGCTGGGATGATGGGTTGGATGTTTCCTGTCAGAGCTTGATGTTTCTGCCATGCACACCTCTAAGTAAAGAGTCCACACATCTACAGAAATAAAGGTTCCGAACACACTGTGGACATCATACTCTGTGGTGAAAGACCGAAAGCTTTTCCTCTAAGATCAGGAGCAAGACAAGGATGCCCGCTTTCACCAACTCTATTCAACAGAGTCCTGGAACTGCTAGCCAGAGCAAGGAGGCAAGAAAAACAAATAAAAGGCATCCAGCTTGGAAAGGGGCGGGGGGCATGTGCAGGTGCATCAGGGGCAGAGGAGGATGGTTTATGGGAAATGGCTGGGACCAGCCAGCGGCCTCCTCTGGGTTTGACGTGGGAACTGAGCATGCTCACCCTCCCCCCCCCCCCCCCGTTCCCCAACCCCAGGCCTCACCGAGGTGGAGCAGAGGTTCAGGTTGGCTTTCTGCACCCATTTCCGAAGGACCGGGAAACCCTGAGAGAGAGGGGGGAGAGTATAATACACATGGGATGTGCTGGGACCAGCTCTGATGTCTGCCTCAGGGATCACCCCAAAGGGTGAGTCCCCAGCGAGGGAGAAATCAAGTTTACACTCAGCGATCTGTGGAGGGCACAGCTTGGTGATGAGCCGAGAAGGCAGCCGGGGACAGAAATGTGTGTGTATATGTAGGTTTGTGCGCGGCTGGGTATGTGTGCGCACATGTGTGTATGCATACATGCATGCGTGTGCATGTGCACACGGTGAGCCCCCTGCATTTCCTGCATGCTGCCTTGTGGTGGAGGCATGGCGTGAGTCCTCCCCATCTCCCCACAGCGCTGTAAAAGCAGAAGGCGCCCGAGAAATGCCCCGGACCTGAACAGGTTCAATCTGCAACCAGCAGTACAGGTCAGAGGGCTCTCCCTGCGCCTGCTTCTGACCTCGTTGCAAGAAGCAAGCTCTGGGGCATTATGGGCTATTTGGCATTTCCTGGCTGCAAGGAGTCACCTATTCTTTCTCTCCGGGCACCCCGCCTCCCTGGACAACTGGGATGGTATGAGGTGGAAGGTCCCCAGCTGATGTGGAGGCAGTAGGGAATTTGCTCTAGGAAGTGTCCAGAAACATGGAATCCTGTTCTTGTCTTGAGTCAATTGTGTGACTCAAGTGGGGCCCCGTCTTCCCCGAGCCCCTCTGCACCCCTTGTGCACGCCCTTACCGTCTCCATGGCCCCACGTGCTCAGCAGCTGCACCTCCAGCTCCAGGGGCACCTCCAGCTCCATGCACACACAGTGGATGAAGGCCTGCCAGGTGGCCAGGCCTTGGGTGTGCAGCTCCCTGAGTTGTAGGAGGACCCTCTGTGTGGGGTCTGGGTCCTCGTTCCTGGAGCCCAGGTCTATGTTGGGGAGGAAGAACTTCACCTTGGCACTCAGCCATTCTGGGTCATTGCTGAGCAGACTCACGAGCCAACCCCACTGGTTCTTGGTGCCCAGCCGGAAGCTAATGGGGTCCATGAGGAGCTGGCCCTGCAGGGACAGGGTAGGCAGGTGAGCTGGGGAACAAGTGAGCTGGGGGACAGGTGAGCTGTGGGGACAGGTGAGCTGGGGGGATAGATGAGCTGGGGGCAAGGTGAGCTGGGGGGACAGGTGAACTGGGAGATAGGTGAGCAAAGGGATAAGGCAGCTGGGGGGAAGCCAACTGTGCCTGTGTCCTGACTCTGAAATGGTCTAGTAACTAGACTCTAGTTCATTCCCTGTAGATGGTGTCCTGGGAATGCTTTATTCATATGTTCCCATGGACCCCTTTGTGATGCTCTCTGTCTGTGTTAAGCACTTGTCTCCCAAAATTTGTTCTCCCCTTCTTCCTCAGTACCAGAACCCCTGAAGATTCCCTGGTCATCCGGAACAGACTCTATTTCCAGCCTTCCTTGCAGTTAGATGCAGCCATGTAATTAAGTGTTGGCCAATGGGACGTAGGTGGAAGTGTTGTGTATCCTTCTTTGCTGCTTCCTGTGGCTGGAATGATGATGTGATGACTGAGCCCTGGGCAGCCATATTGGGTCATGAGGTGGAAGCCCACAGGGACTGGCAGTACTCCAGGTCGTGGCAGCTGTTTTAGACTGGGCCCAGGAAAGAGGGCAATGTGGACAAAGGTCCCAGTTGATTCACAACAAGAACGAGGAGGAAATAAATGTTTGTTCTCATAAGACACTGGGACTTTGTAGGCTGTTTGTTATGCAGCATAAACAAGCCCATCCTGGCTGATACACACTCACAACCGACCTTCAGCAAGTCCCTTCCCTCTCTGGGCCTCAGTTAGACCATCTATAAAATAGGCAGAGTAGATGCTATCTTAGGCCCTTGCTGATTTTGTGTCCATTGATGTTCACTCTCATGAATGGTGGCTAAGTGTAGGTTTGCTGTTTTGGGGACAGGCCCAGTGGGGCCAATCTGGGTAGGGAGCAGTCCTGGCAGTGGGTGGGGGAGTGAAGGAGTGAACGGGAGGGACAGAGAGGAGGCAAAGGGGAAAGATCACTTACTTGGCTTCCTGGTTCATCATAGATGCTCTAGGGTGTCCGTGGAGACAGTCTCATGGGTACCTGGGCCGAGTCCTGTGCCTTGAGCTGGATTTGCTGGTTGTTTCCATAGGGCAGGCCTCTAAGGAGAGAGGAGACAGGGTGCTGCCCACAGTATCCCAGAATGCAAGGGGAATGCTGTGGAGAAGGCACCAGCCCTTAGCCCTGCCCTTCGTCTGACCTGAAACAGTCCCCTCACCTTCGTGCACAGACCCTGCTCTTCTTGTCCCTGGACTGGCACTGCTCACCTCCCGGGGTCACCTCCTGCCACACCTGGCCCAGAGGAGGTGACCCCAACTCGGACATCCACCTTCCAGGGACTCGGGGTGTCACAGTGAGCCCTTCAAACACAGCCGACTCACTACAGCTCACTTGTTGGGAGGAAAATGGAATAATCCTCACCACGGATGCCAGCTGCCTTTCCCAATAAAATTCCAGAAAGGTCAGGATTTGCCACCTCTTTCTCATTACATCAGGAAGTAGTTTTATTTATTATTATTTTTTAACCCTCACCCAGGGATAGTTTTCCATTGATTTTTAGAGAGAGGGAAAGACAGAGAGAAACACATCAGTTGATTGCCTCCTGCACGAGGCCCAACCAGGAACCGGGTCTGGGAGGAGCCTGAAACCAAGGTACGTGTCCTTGACCAGAATCATACCTGGGACCCTTTGGTCCCGAGGCCAATGCTCTATCCACTGAGCCAAACTGGGAGCAGTTCTAAACAATTGAGTGTTAACATTCTATTCAATAAGAAAACCCAGAGGCATCGGTCCCTCGCGTCCTGGCACAAATGTGTACCGAATACAGCTGTAGGGATTTTGCCTGACAAGTTGGAATGGACAAGAGAAAAGATGATGGAAAAGTAGGTGGAAGACAAAGAAAGGAGAAGGACCAGTCTGTGCACTGATCGTCTATCTAAGAAACGTGAGGAAGGTAACTACAAAGTCCCAGGACTTTAGATAAAGCCACATAAACGGGGCATGTTCCATTTAACAGAGGTCAGTACTGCGGTTAGAAATACGGGGGGAAAAAACGATAGCCAGTTGCTCAGTGGTTAGAGCGTCAGCCCTCGGACTGGAGGGTTCCAGTCCAGTCAAGGGCACCTACCTCGGTTGCAGACTCGATCTCCGGCCCCAGTCAGGGCATGTGCAGGAGACAGCCGATCAATGTGTCTCTCTCACATAGATGTTTCTCTCTGTCTCTCCCCGTCCCTTCCACTCTCTCTAAAAATCAATGGGGAAAAAAGAAAGAAAAGAGGTACTGGGGGTACTAATGACATTTCTTTAAACAAAACTGTCAAATTCTAGCAGAAGAAATGGAGAGAGGCAAGAGTGAATGGAGAGAAAGCCTTGCTTACCACCCCGTCTCGGGAGATCCGCTAGCCCCACACTCTGACTCCCCACAGCACCCCCCCCCCCCGCCCTGGAGTCTTGGGGGCTCTGCCCAGCTGAGGTTTGGGCAGAATCCTGGGCAACTGAGTTGTGTGGCTCTGGAGTGGAAGATGGGGCACACCCCCACATTCCCCCAAGACTGACTGGCACCGCCCCTTCTCCTGACTCCCAGTGGCCCGCCCTGCTGAGCCTGGGCTCCTGGCAGACTTTGGGACAGACTGACTTGTGTGGCTCTAGGACGGGGCCCTTTTCCCTCGCACACGCCACTGGTGCAGAGCCCTCCCTTCACACGGCCAAATCTTGGTCTGCTTGGGCCTGATAAACCCTTCAGGCCTCCCCCTGATGACTCCCTGAGACCCTGCCCCGCCACAAAGGTGTGCAAGCACCCAGCTAGACGTGGTGTCCCCGGCGACATTTGCTGAGCTCCCCCGAGACCCGGGCTGGTAAAAGCCGGCCTTGGTGCACAGCTTGGTTCCTTCTCACACACACCCAGGCCCAGCAGAGGCACCACACACTGTGGATTGCTTTGTGGCTCCAAACAGGTTGTCCAGGGCCAGTCACAGGTAGTGTCTGACCTTGGCCTGCACCAGAGTCCCTCCCAAGAGGCCCCAGAACCAACATACCCAGTGGTCAGCTTCAGACAACATCTGAGCAGGGTCCAATTAGCTTCGCAAGCGGCATGTCCAATTGGAGGCACGGCACCCTGCTGACGTCTTTTCCAGTGTCCTGCAGGCGCTCACTCCACCTTAGGGCTTCGAGGCTAGAACATAATTTAGGTCAAGATGTGACCTTTAGCCTGCCCACTACTCAGGTCCGGACTCTGTCTTCTACTGCCTCCGGGGCTGCTGATTATCTGGGGGAAAGGCTAGGTCTGTGAAGAGAGAGAGAGAGGGAGCGCTCTATTTCTACAGGTAGGATTTAAAATGAAATTTAAGCCCTGGCTGGTTTGGCTCAGTGGATAGAGCATCAGCCCCCAGACTGAAGGGTCCCGGGTTCGATTCTGGTCAAGGGCACGCACCTCAGTTGTAGGCTGGATCCCTGGCCCTGGTCGGGATGTGTGTGGGAGGCAACCAATCAATGTGTCTCTCTCACATGGATGTTTCTCTCTCTGTGTCTCTCCCCCTCCCTTCCACTCTCTCTAAAAATCAATGGAAAATATCCTTGGATGAGGATTAAGAAACAAAAAAGAGGTCATTAAAATAAAAAAATAAAAAATAAAAATAAAAATAAATTTAATGCAAGTCATAAGGACCCTCCGTTTCAGTAGATCTACACAATGGAATATTATTCAGCAACAGGGGTGAGCCACAAAAACATCAAGCCCCAACGTATATTAGTAAGTAAATTCAAATTTCAAAAGCTGCACACGTGTATGTTTTAAATGTGTGTGTGTGGTGTATGTGTATGTGTGTGTGTGTGTGTGTGTGTGTGTGTGCGTGCGTGTATGTGTCCTTGCATACAGAGACCAGCTCTAGGGCTATGAGAGAAACGTGACAGGATTATCTAGGGAGGGGCCTGGGGGACACAGGCCAAGGAGCGCCCTTTATACCATACTCTTGGACCACTTTATACCATTTGAGCTTTTTAAAAGGTGTGTTTTGATTTAAATATATATATGGCCTGGCTGACGTGGCTCAGCAGTTGAACATTGACCTATGAACCAGGAGGTCATGGTTAGATTCCCAGTCAGGACACATGCCTGGGTTGCAGGCTGGATCCCCAGTGTGGGGTGTGTAGGAGGCAGACGATCAATGATTCTCTCTCATCGTTGATGGTTCTATCTCTCTCTCCCTCTCCCTTCCTCTCTGAAATCAATTTCATATATATATATTTACAGTAAAAACTAGAACAGACGTTTCCTCAATATGTGAGGAAGAGAAATACACAATGATGAGTAAGCACAGAAATCACCAGCAATGCCCAAGAGAAATGGAAGTTCCCACACAACTCGAATAATACCTAAAACGGACTTCGGAAGGCAACAAATGAGGATAAATATCTGCATCGAGTAGGACAGACAGAGTCTGAAAATTCCAATAAAAAAAGTAATTTCTACATCTTGAGGATATATTTTATTCTACTTTTTAGTTTAACGTTTTTATGTGTGTCCCAGGGACAAACCTACATTTTCACTAAAACTGAGGTCACACAAGTTGAACATACGTAATGAATATTTGCTAAGTGCCCGGCGTGTGCCTTTAGTTAGACCTTCTGTTTTAATTCTCACAACTACTACTCTTGGATGCCTCGTATGCATTTAAAATGTTTCTGGGTCCACCCGACTGGTGTGGTTCAGTGGTTGAGCTTCAGCCAATGAACCAGGAGATCATGGTCCAATTCCCAGCTGGCCACAATCCCTAGTGGGGGGTGTGCAGAAGGCAGCCGATTCATGATTCTCTCTCCTCATTGATGTTCCTATCTCTCTCTTCCTTTCCCTTCCTCTCTGAAATAAAAATATTCTATTCCATGAACATTTAAAAATAGACAGAACCTAGACACAGAACCTAGACACAGAACCTACACAGAACCTAGAGACAGAAGAACTTTGCTGGAGAGAACATGGCAAAAAATCCTGGACAGAAACTGGCCACAGAACCTAGAGACAGAACCTAGCGAGAGAACATGGCAAAAGATCCTGGACAGAACCTGGCTACAGAACCTGGATAGAACATGGCAAGAGAACCTGACTAGAACATGGCGACCGAACCTGGCTGGAGAACCTAGCAAGAGAACATGGACACAGAACTTGGCTGGAGATTGTGGCTAGAGATCCTGGCTAGGCTGCTGATCAACTAAACGCTGTCTCCGTGTCATTCCTTCTTCACCGACTCCATCCACACCTTTGGGGACCCCTGGACCTGCTGGGGTTGGACCCCAGCACATTTTGATCATTTATAAAATAGGGATAATAATGCTTGCTTTATAGAACTGTTATGAGGAATAAAGTTCTAGTCTACACAGTGTCCCATCAAAATATAAAATAAAAATAATAAAAAAATAAAAATAAAAATATATTCGTTTTTAATAAAGAGGGATTTTTGTCTCTCAAAGTATACCAAAATAAAGTTTAGATGGGGGCCAGATATAATGTAAAAAGTTAAACCATGAAAGTATTACAAGAATATAGATAATCACTTTGCAACAATTCATAAAGCTGTATCTTTCATTTTCTTTGCATGTTTCCTGCATTATATTTCACAACTGAAAAGTTAAAATTTTTTAAATGCTGAAAAAGGACATGTGGAAAAGTCTTAAAAATAATGCAGAGTAGAGAGGACCTAGCCAGGCATGACACAGAACTCAGAGATCACAAAGAAAAACCGCATGAAACCGACCAGATATAAATCAGCATTGTCTCAGTGACAAAGAACACCACACACAAAGTGAAAAGACAGACGACAGGCTGGAAAATAACATCTGCTAGTTACGTCACGAAGGCGTAATGTTTTAACATCTCAAGACGGACTACAAATCAATAAGGAAAAAAGTAACAACCTGATAGAAAGTGGGCACAGAGCACGGACCGTTTACCAAAAAGGAAATCCAAATCGCTCTTCAAAATGTGAAAAGGTGTTCAACTCACAGGAAACACACATTCAAGCTAAAAAGGTATTGGATTTTCCAGCCGGTGGGCTGGCGAGGATGCTCCATGGCAAGGTTGTGAATGAACTGGCATTTTGAGGCATTGCTGTAGGAGTGTAAACAGATACAACCTTTACCTTCCAACAGATGCCACATAACCACACCTAGCAATTCCATGCCCAGGTATTTAGCCCATGGGTATTTTCGTAATTCGCATAGTCACGAATGCTCAAGTATACTTACTGTGGCCTTAGTGATAGTAGGAAAAGACTGGAAAAAACCTACCTAAATGGCCATCAATTGTGGTGCATTTATACACTGAAAGCCTACGCAGCCCGTGAAAAGCAAGCGGCAGAACTAAGTGGAATGATGTGGATCAATGTCCAAGATATATTTTGTAAAAAAAGAACCAGGGCAGAACAGGGTCTAGGGCACTGATGGCGAACCTATGACACGCGAACTCATTTTTTTGGTTTATTTTTCTTTGTTAAATGGCATTTAAATATATGCAAAAAAGATCAAAAAATATAAATCTTTGTTTTACTATGGTTGCAAATATCAAAAAATTTCTACATGTGACACGGCACCAGAGTTTAGCTAGGGTTTTTCAAAATGCTGGCACGCCCAGCTCAAAAGGTTCACCATCACTGTCTAGTGTAAGCTGCATTTGTGTAAGAAAAAAATAACTGTGCGTGTTTCTAAATACATGATGATTTCTGAAAGAAACATAAAAGCAATTATCCCTGGGAAGGGGAAGCTTTTAGTATTTGATTTCAGACAGGAAGGGAGAGGGAGAGATAGAAACATCTGTGATGAGAGAGAGTCATGGATCTGCTGTCTCCTGCACGCCCCACACTGGGGATCAATCCAGAAACCTGGGCATGTGCCCTGACCGGGAATTAAACCGTGGCCTCCTGGTTCATAGGTTGACACTCAACCACTGAGCCACACCGGCTGGGCAAAGCTTTAGAATTTCGTACTGTATGCATGTGTTATCTGATCAAATTCATTTTAAAATCGCATATATCTATTGCCTTCCCTTTACTGGTTGTCATGCTCATCTCCCGTGATCTTAGTTATTTGGGTCGGGGTATCCATCAAAGAACGAGAAAACATTTCCGGTCGCTGTGCTTCTATCACTTTCCCCACCCGTGGCCAGCAGTTTCTGATTTACACGTGAATGTGGAGGTTCGTCTTACTCAAACGTATACCTTTTTATGAAAAAACAAGAGTGCAGACTGCTGCCGACGGAACAAAGAAAATAAAACCTAATAAACCTCAAGCCTTCATCTTTGCATTTCAGCACAGGGTCCCCTGGCCTTCGGTCCGAAGGGTTACCTCTAACAATCGCCAGTGCATCCGTGGGTGCTCAGACAGGGGCTCAGGAGGGGCCCAGGGTCACCCAGCCGCACCCACAGGGAGCCCGGCGTGCGGATCTGCAGGCCAGTGGTCTGGCCACCCCAGGTCCCGGCTGCAGAGGGCAGAGGGCAGGGGCGGGCCTGGAGGCCTGGTCGGGCTGCCGGTCTCACTGAGGGGTCTCTATGCGAGTGTCACTCACCCGGGCTTCAACTTAACAGCAGACAACCCCCTCCACTGCCCCCATGGCTGTGCTCCTGGAGCCTCCTTCCTGCTATCCCAGAAGTCCTTGCAGGTAGAGGTTAGAGGAGGGAGTGAACTCGGGCCAGTTCCCTCACTGCAGCCCCAGGGCGTTGGTGCTGGCTGCTCCCTCCTGCTGGAGAGCCCCACCTCCAGTCCGCACACATGCCTATGCGCACCCCGCACACATGCATGCATGCAAGCACACATGCACATCCAAGAGCACATGCATATATGCACGCACACATACACACACGTCTGGCCCGAGTTCTCTCTCAGACTCCACTCTGGTCTCGCCTTTTCTCTCTCTCAACCTCCTCTCAGCTTCCAAGGGCAAGTCGTGCCATGTCCTATGACTTCCACAAGCAGGTGTCCAAGAAAGGCTCAAAGGTCGCATGTCAGATTGGTCCCTGCCCTTTGGTTCCAGGCCCCCGCTGGCCCGCACACACCCTGACAACACTCACAGCCCCACCTCCCGGCCTCTTTCCCAACACCCCACCTTGCACATCCTCTTCCTCTACCTCGAGTGCCCTTCCCTTTTTTCTACCTTGCAAACCCCTCCTTCTCTCTCCAGACCCTGCCCCTTCTCCCTTCTCAGGGAGGTCTTCCTGGCTGCCTTCCCTACCAAGCCAGGCCCGCCACTGGGCTTCCCTCCTTAGCATTCTCTCCTTCCTTCCATGCCAGGTCTTGCCA